GGAAGGTCCTTTGGTTGCCCCAACCTGCCTGCAAAGGCAACCAACTCGAAAAAGCGCACACCCGTTTGCTTTGCTCCTTCTTACAACTGGCGCTTTCTCCCCACCACCCCACGAGCGAGTCACTTGTCCAACGACCCACGCGTGCAAGAGGGGCGGCTTCTGCAGGGCCCCCCCATGAGTGGCTTGGCGGTTTGGAAGTTGGGCGTTTTTTCCCTGCAAGAACCAGAGGTTCAGATCTGCACTTCCCACCAATGCAAACCACCAACGAAGGGTTTCCTGAAAGGAAGGCTTCCCCCACAAACCAACCAAGGCTTGCCTGAACATCACGTCAAGTGGACAAAACGCCGGGCTCCGACAAAAAACACTGCCGCGTTTGGAGCTTCAAAAGCTCCTCGCCGCAGGGGAGGCACATGGAGCTTCGGAAGGAGTAGAGGTCACCGCTGGGCCCCTCCCAAGGCGCGAGCCATGCCCCCACCCCCCCCCTGGCACCAAGAGACGCGCCGCACTTCTGTGGTTTTCCCTTTTTTGGTATCTGTGAGAAAAAAAACAAAACAAAAAGGGGGGACCCTCAAAATTCGAGCCGCGCCCAAACATGTTTCAACCGCACCGCTCTGGCTTCACAAACCCATGCGTAACCCAGATTGGAGGTGCTGTTGTAAATGCAGGAAACCAGCAGAAAAACACCCATGTCTCAGTTTGGCTTGGTGAGAACTGGGGACTTGAAGTTCTGACGGATGACAAAGCACCCAAATCCAAACCCTAAACCACAAATCTAAGCCACCCCGGAGCCTGGCAACTCCTCGGGTTCTTGGATGGCAATTGGCGGTTTTCATTTCATCCATCCCGACTGGCGCCGATCGGCGCGGGATTTTTGTAACCATCAGATTTGCGTGAAAGAGAAAGGGCACGGGACTGTGCGCATCCTCTCCGCTTGGCATCCCTTGACCGGCTGGTTGTAGTTTCTCGTTAATCGGGGAAGTCTCAAAACTGGTTGGAAAAGTTACCCCGCCCGAGACAAGGCAACCTACAGCTCCTCGCAGCCAAGCAGAGGACACAAGTTTCTTTCTGGTTCCCCTTAAAACCAACCCTGAAAAGGCATCCTCAAAAAGCGCGTACCCAAGTGTTGCAACCAATCAATTTAGGTGACCGTTTTAGATATGCTCTATCAAATGGGTTTGATGCAACGCACAAGCTGAAACCATGTCTTAGAACCCATTTAGGGTCCCCACGTAGGAGTGTGTCAAACTAGCGGGCCCTGTTTGACTTTTGGGGAGAATCCTCAAAATTACCATCTGCACGTTTCTGGATGTACTTTGGACACCTCCATGAATTTGGGAATCCTCAAATTTTGATTTCAACCCCAGATGTCTTCTTTCCCTCCTTTTGACGGTTTTTCGAATGGAAGCCGCCGGCCCAAACATCCGCCCCCTTAGCCGAGCCTGTGTTTTCTTTTTTGTGCGGGGCCTACGCGCTGGAAGCACATACCTACTCGGAGGCGGGGCTACGCGAAAGTGCGGAAGTAGTGGAAGTAGAAGTAGAAGTAGAAGTAGAAGTAGAAGTAGAAGTAGAAGTAGAAGTAGAAGTGGAAGTAGTAGTAGTAGTAGTAGTAGTAGTAGTAGTAGTAGTAGTAGTAGTAGTAGTAGTAGTAGTAGTAGTAGTAGTAGTAGTAGTGGCAGTGGTGGTGGTGGTAGCAGTAGTGGCAGTGGTGGTGGTGGTGGTAGCAGTACTACTGTAATGCGAGGTGGAAGGGCTGTGTAAAGGCGGAGGCTACAAACGAGCGAACTGAAATTCTGGCCGGGGGCTACGCGCAACATCAACAGCTCCCTTTGCCAGTGGCTACGCGAGGCTGCGCGCGGCTACGCGAGGCTACGCGAGGCGACGCGGCCACCTTACCAGTTCCCCTCTGCTTTCGGCTCCTGCATCCAAAAAAGGAAACCGCGGCCCAAGGGCCTCGCAGCAGAGGCTCGGGGCTGCCCCCGGGCCGATGGCGCGGCAGTTCCTCACCGCCTCCTGGAACTCTGCGGCGCTTAAGGCCGCCACCTTCTTCCTGGGACGAGATGTGCGGCGGGAGAAGGTTAACATGGGACCCAGCAAACACCTCCTGCTGCAATAGCCAGGGACTGACCAATGGAGTGACCCCAAGAAAACGTTTTTTTTTTTTAATTATTATTATTTCTTCGGGAGTACCCAAGTTCATCCCTTCATTGCCATCTGAGCACCAGCAAGTAAGGGAGTGCCGAGATGGAAAAGTTACTTGCCTTTTGGGTGGGTGGTTTTTGATGTCACAACTCTCCTTTTGGGCGGTTGATCTTCCGAGCAAATGGTTGGTTGGTTTGAAAGCTGAAAGCTTCACAAATCGATGGAGGTGGGGGTGAGGGGGTGACCGGGTGAGGGGGGTGAGAGTGACCCAAAGTCTCAAGATGTGGGACACCCGAATAGGATGGGAGGTTTCTGTAATTGGCTTCCATGTACGATCGAGAAAGGGCCCCGCTGTTTTGAGACAGAGTCAATTAGAACAGTCAAGCCCAACTTTCCTTTTGGGTTGTTGATCTTCCGGAGAAAATTGTTGGTTAGTTTCTCAAAATCGGATTCGATCCCCTAAAATGGTTTGGCTGCTACAATTGTCCCTGTGGTTGGTTTCGTAAAGTTGTTTCTTCTTCCAGAAGGCTCAGACCGGACATGGAAAAAAATCCACCCCTATGAAACCAGCTAGAGAAGGAACTACCTGGAACAACTCACAAGTTCATGGGGAGTGATACTGAGATGGATCACCACACCTTTTGCTTCTGGTGATTCAATTGCTTCTTGGTTGTTCACAAAAAAGCCTGAGAAAAAATATGGTTGGTTGGTTTCTCAAAATTCAAGCTCACATGTGGGCGGGGGGTGATCGGGGTGTGTTGAGGCTGCCGTTGTTGGAAGAGTTTACACGAAAGCTATAGGGGTGTAGTCATGAGCCACGTCAAAAATAATTGCTTCTTTTTGCATGGTTGCGCTAAATTTAGAGCTCGTCCCTCATATCCCGTACCCCAAACGGACCTCTCATAGGACGCGCACGCGCGGACCCCACAAACTCCCTAGAAAACCAAACAATAGCTTCAACATCACCTTTTGGGTGGCTTACAGAGATTGGGGATCGACCAACCAACAACCGACCAGCCAACCAGCCAGCCAGCCAACCAGCCAACCAGCCAACCAACCAACCAACTAACCAACCTGAGAAAACTTCAATTCAGATGGGGGTGTGATCAGGGTGTCTTTTTGAGGCGACCCTTTTGGGTTGCTTCAATGGGAAGCTCATAGGGGTGTGAAGTTTCTCAAAATGCTCCCCTAAAATGTGCTGTTTATGGGGGGGAAGGCTTTTTTATGGGTTCCCTGGTCCCGCGTAACATGATATTCATGATCAGCCAATCAAAACCAAAGCGCCGTCCAATCATGGGGGAAGCCATGATCAGTTTGTGAGGCTTCCCTTTGAAACTAGACATCAAGACGAAATCCCAAACTCGTAGACGCTGTCCCAAGCTTCTTCAGGTTGGTTTCCCCGTCCAAGTTGGCCGTCTCCACAAAGCAGTGCCCATCATCGTTGCAGGAGCCCAGCAGCAAGCAGTCTGCTGGAAAAAGCTCCTGACGAGTTCCGATCGAAGGACTTGCGGCCCATTTGTTCAACCTCATCTTGGGGCCCATGTTTTGTTGAGGGTGCCCAGAATTCGTTGGGGGGGTGGTTGTAAAGAGAAATCAACACGAAAACAGCCATCTTGGAGGTTCCCCTATGCTGAGACGACAGGGTCACGCAAATCAAAATGTGCGGGTTGGTCTCGAAAGGTCCACCCTAATGCCCCGACGCTGGCTTGGCTCAAAGCCAAAAGTCACAGGCGACTCTGGCTGTCCCAACCCGCAAGGGGAAGAATCAAAGGCGGGCTTTGGAGTGGACGGAAGTCGACCAATCCCAAGCTTCACTTTTCTGGGTTCAAAGAGACATCCTCAAATTACCCTCTAAGCAGGGGATTCAAGGGGTGTAATGTTGAGAACCCCTGAGATGTTCACTTCAAAGGTCCACGAAGCCTCTACCCAACAAAATGGGAATAGCCGCCTCAACTTTGAAGCCGTCTCCCATTTGCAGGGCACCTCGCACCCTTTTTGATGGACCTGCTTGGATGTTCAACCAAGTTGGTAGGCTGCAACCCTGGTTATAACTGGGGTAACTAGGGCTAGTCCACTTATAATAGCTTCTACCCGACATCCTAAGTAAGTTGGTTGAGCACCAAAATGGACTTACCTGACCACCTTCGCCGGAAGTCCTGGTTACGGATCTTCAGGACTGTGCCGGGCGTCAGGCGCCTCAGGGACCGGTGGATTTGTGTCGCCCAACAGGCGGTGAGTCCCGAGTCCCCCCCCCCGGCGGTCTCAATGGAGGGTACTGTGGACGACATCCAGTCGCACCACCTAAGAAATTCTGGTTTTCTGATGCCCCTGTAAATACCAACAAACAATGGTTTCAACCCATGGGTTCAAAGTGGTGCAGTCTTTCCATCCGAATGTCCAGCATAGGGAACCCCTCCCTTTTTGAAAGGGAACGAGTAGCTGCAAAGGGAAGCCAAACAGAATCCAACCATTTGGCTCTGCCATTTCTTGAGAAGAGGAAACCCCCCCGTTTTGGGGCTTCCCCTTCCGGGGAAAAAGTCCAAGGTCCGAAAGACGGCACACCCATTCTGCCCTGGCCCCATCTGCTGCTCAGTGGCCCCCAGTTCACAGCACTCTCCTGCAGACTGAGATCTACCGCCATGGCCTCCCGGGCGTTTTCCTTCTGATCAGACTGGACTCGCTGCCAGTCCTAGCTTCGTGGAAGCCCAAGATGGTGTCCGCCCAAAGTGGAAATTCACCCCCCTGTGGGATTCCCACAACTGGATTCCCAAAACTCTAGGGAAAATCCCAAGTGAAAACAATAACAAGCCAGTGGAGAATCACAAATCACCCTACCCAGCCCCACCACGACTTTGACACTTTTAAAGTGGGATTCCCCAAGATAACTCTCTTACCACAGAAAGTGGCCACCGAAAAAGGCCCCTACTTTCCCGGTCCTCGAATAAGTCCTTGACGGCCTGCATGAGGATCACCCCACTGAGAGGCACCAGCGTCGCAGGCTTGCCCTTGAGTGCAAGCCAGACATACCAAATCCCTGGTTTCGCATGGGGATCCTCTCACTCAGCTGGTAAACCGGATTTGTTTCTTGGCAAAGGTCCCTAGGTCCCCGCCTTGGTGTTGCTGATGGAGGGAAAGAGCTGACCCACTGCCACCAGCAAGAAATACAGGTTCCCCAGCTGGCTGAACTGCTCCCAGAGATTCTTGGGGATGAAGTTGTACCATGTGTACTTGTTGGTGTGAATGCTGTTGTTCCTCTCTGCGAGAGCTCTCATTCAAAGACCCATGGAAAATAGTCCAATGCTGCTTGCAAAACTGGTTTGCACCAGGAAACTCACAAATCCGAATCGAAATCCGCTTAAACCTGACCCGAAAAGGGGCTCAAAAGGGGAGGGTCGTTGCGGGCGACCCCCAGCTCCTCCGCTTGTCGGGCTGAAACAGCTTCACCAGCCGGGTACCCGGCTCCTCGTCTTCCATGAGGCATGGACGTTTCCGCTACCTCATTACCATGCTCTGGAAGCGCTTTGTGAGGGAGCCGCGGACCCTGCTTGAACATGCTTTTGTTGGCACTCCTTCATGTACGTTGCTTTTTCAACGCTTACTTGAAACCACTTCAACATCTTAGTGGCCTTGGATGTAAGATTCGTATCATCCGTCACATTTGAGGCTGTCCCATTGCCTGCCTTGGGATGTGTTCGCTTCATCCCTATTCGATGTCTTCGGATTGCCTTCTTGTAGGTCAAACATGGAGCTTGAGCCTTGAAAGCACATCGAACGACTCAGCTTGCATTTCCCAGGAAAACGACCAAGCCCCCAAATCCACCAGGAGAAGCCCCCCCCAAAAAAAAGAAAAAAACACGCGTCAAGGCATAGAGAGCAAAAAGTCCCGAGTCCCAAGTCTCCGGGCCTCACCTGGTCTCCACCACTCTCCGCGCGCGTTTTTTTCGCTCTCCGCGAAGAGCGCCTCCGCAGCTCGCCGGCCCTGGGCCTTCCAGTCCTCCAAGGCGGCCTGGTGCTCTGAGCTGCCCACCTCGCAGGAGATGTCCTCCAAACGGAGAAGACGAAAAAACCGGCGGGGAGAAAAAAAAAGCCCGCTCCTTGAAGCAAGCATCGCTGTTCGGCGTTCTCTTGCAGCAACTGTGAGTTGTAGGGTAGTGGTTGAAAGAAGTAGCAAGGAAACATGGAGCCTCCGTTTAGTCTCAAGGAATTGGAGGCTCCGGTTTGACACAATTTGGGTGCGTCAAGATCGGGCCCCAAAAAATAACGGTGCTCCTTTGGTGTTCCATTTCGACCAAAGTTTCGAACAAACTACAACGCGTTGGTTCGCCAATTTGGGCCAGTCCTTTCCGACCAAGTTGCTGCCCATGCCCACGACACAAGCGCCCGCGTCCAGCCACTGTTGGCAGTTTGCGGGTGACACACCGCCGGAAGGCATGATCTTCAAACTCTGCAAGGGGGTGACCTGGGTCCAGCTTCCCCAGCGGAAACTTTTCTTGTGTTTGTTTGTGTTTATGCATGCAGGGATTTATGTCCAGCCACGATTGAGGCTGTAAGCATCAAAACTTTAAACTGATATGATTAAAGCGTGGGGAGTTACATGTCCACCAACCACATTTGAAGCTGGTTGAAGTAAACACTTCTGGAAACGCTCAAAAATCCATTTCGAGGCCACCCCTAACATTTGGAGACAAAGCCAGGCGACGTCCAGCATGGACTGCAAGATCTTGGGAGAGACCAGCCCTGCGTGGAAGAGCTTGATGAGCCTCGCCCAATGAGTCATTGAGTCATCCAAACCCATTGGGATCTACCGCTTCAAACCATAGGTGTCCTTTTGGATGAAAATCGATGGCCCGGGTAGATGAAACAACCAGGTCAACCAGGAATCGCCATCGATGTTCTGCCCAACCAACCCATGCTCTAAAGCACAAAGAATCCAAAGGGCGGGTCACGAGACCCACACACCCGAGTGCGGCTACTGTCCCTCCATGCGGAATTCAGTGGCTGTGGGCTGATGTCTCAACTCATGGCCCAAACTGGGCTTGCCACAAGCCCGGCGTGTCGAGCTCGAACTTTTTCGGACCTCCTGGATCTCGGTCCGTAAGAGTTTGCCGTCTCCAGTGAGGCTTTTCTCCCAGCCCGCCCAAAGCCTGGGGCTTGGGGGCTGTTGGAAAGAACTTCCTGGAAAATCCCCCGATCTTCGCCCATTCCACCGGACGATCCAAAACCCCGGGCGGAGAATTTCCGGGCGGCCTCACCCCTCGGCGGTGCAAAGCCCAGCACTCGTTGCTGGTGAAGGCCGAGGGCACCGCCAGGAGGCCCAAATTCCTTGCCGCGGCTCGGGTGGCTCGTCTCTTGCGAGAAATTCGGGTGTCTCGAAATAGGGAGCCCCTGTTGGGAGTCGTTTTAGACGGAAACCAGAGGAAAGCGACCGTTTTCGATCACCTTTTGGGGCCAATGGAAATCAAAAGGGGGAAGCCAAGACGTCGGATCCGGTCAACTCGCTTTGGGCAAGTGAGTCTTTGAGGGTACCTTTTTTGGTTGGTTTCAAGGGACACCAACAGTCAACCACGCATTTTTGGGGTTTCCCTGTGACCAAACAAATCCGGAGGCAGGGAATGAGTTGGAATCACCCTCCGAACTAAAGCATCCCTAGTTTCCTCAGGGATCCATCGGTGCACGTCCAAAACCGCAGTTGCAATGCGTAATGCCCAGACTACAGCTGGGTGAAAGTAGATGGCACAACTCCTCCATCGCGGCTACTCATCATCGCCTTCCCCACAGGGGAATTGTGCCATCTACTTTCACATTGTATTGGACTGCCCAAACTATTGGAAAATATGTTCAAAGTCAATGGATCCTTAAAAATAATTCTTGGAAGAGCAGTACATATACTCCATGAACAAAACACAAATCGAGTTCAAACACAGTCGATAGGGAGCCACCTGGCTGGGAGTGCCATGCCCGGCCCACAGATTCCAAACTTGAATAAGGCAACTGGGGGGGGGGGAGCGCCTCAGCCATGCCCCGACCAGCCAGCCCACAGATTCCAAACTTGAATTAAGGCCACTGGGGGGGTTCCTGGTAGAATCTCCAGTTTTCTTGGTTGCTGTCGACCCCCCTGCAAAATGTTTCACTCTTGGGGGTTTAGTGGAAACCCCCTTGATTTCAACCAAAAAGTTAAAGTCTAAAGATCCAACCGGATAGCAGTCAAAGCTTTGTGCTGCCTCGGACTTGCAGCAAAGCTTCGCGCAGGTCTCCACGAAGTCCACGGGGTCGATGGGCGACAGCGCAAAGCCGGCCCCCAAGGCCTTGGCCTCGGGGCCCGTTTTTTTTCGGCAGAAGGCAGGAACAAGGGCGGTACACCGGAAAAATGGGGACACACCGAAGCAAACGCACAAATCAAAACCATGGGCCATTTTTGGGAAAGGTGTTCATGTAAAAAAATCGTGATTTTCTTTCCAAGCGGATTCCTGGCCTCACCCAGCAGCGGCACGGAGTCGTCCATCACGGTGCCCACCCCCAGCACAACGTCTGCGGGCAAACTTCGCCTGAGACTCGACAGCACGTGCCGCCAATCCGAGCTGTCCAGCGTCACCTAGGTCAGATTCTACGAATGGGTGGGCAACACCCAAATAGGTGTCGCAATTCCACGAAGAAAACAACAACTTCAATTCTAACCTGAAATTGCAAATGTTCCCCAAACTCGCAGGGCGTTCTCCTTAAACCAACCAAACAAAAAATGACCGCCATGCTCGCCTCACACCAACATCCCCTCAAAAGCCCCTCCCTGTCCGCCTCCATGGCGCAACAGCCCAGCGCCGCCAGCTCCAGCCCCCGCTCCACGGCTTTCTCCGGGCTGCCCTTGGCGCGCAAAATCGCCAGCACCTTGGCCCGCCGCAGGCGCTGCAGCGTGTCCTCGACGGCTTCGGCTTCCGAAGCCCTGGCGGAGCTGGGCCTCGGGTTACCGTGGCGGGGGAGTCCGGTTTAAACGCGATGTGAAACTATGTGAAAATATCCTCCACTTTACCTCTTGGTTTATGGACCCCCGGAAATATCGAGTTAACCCCAACTCGCCCAATGGCGAGATCCTCCCCTCGTTTTCCTTTTTAGCCGACCCAAAACGGCCCCCCCCGCCCCCCAACCCAACCCCCCCTCGAAAAAAAAAAATAACACGTCGAGACCCCCCATGGAAGCAAACACTCAATGCCATCTACTTCCCCCAACGCCCACCTGGTCGCCGTGAGCTTCGCCGGCCCGTCGGACCAGCGGCGCTCCGCCGCCAGCAGCTCGGGCCGCGTCACCCGCGAGAAGTCCCCTGCAGAGTCTTGGCACAGCGCCGCCAGCAGGTCCCCGCGCCGCAGCGCCGCCATCGGCGGCAGGTTCTCCCGCAAGGCCTCGTTCGTTCCAGGGCTGCCGGGCTGCTTTTCAGCATGTTTTAGCTGCCCTTGGTGCTGTGTCTCATGTGGATGAACATCGTCCGCTTCGCACCAGTTGGTCGCTGGAAAGCACAAGGAAGTGAGGTTCCGGTTTTCTAACAGCACGAAACGGGGTGGAAAAGAAAATGGAAAGCTCCCACAACCCTGTTTGTTGACTTTGAGCTTCTAGCTATATGAAGCCAGGTAGTTGCACCACCTACTAACATGGCCCTTTTGGGATCAGTTTTTGCCGTTCGCCTGGATCATGCCAGCGGCCCAGGCGCTGCCACCACCGCACTCATCTTGAGGAACGTGGTACACCGGCAAGGCGGAGGTGCTGAAGGTGCTGCAGGTGCTGCAGGTGTCGCTGAGTTCACCTGAGCTCAGCTTCTCAGCTTTGTTGACTGCTTTGTGGGTGACCTTCATCAGCAACTGGGGGGTGTGTCCTTTTAACCTGTGACTTGAAGGCCGAGTCACTGAGCAGACTCCACCGGCATTGCACGCCCTCCTCCCGCCTCTTGCGGCACATGGCGATGCGCTTGCACTTCAGCATCCGCTGCAGCTCTCCCATGAGACTCAAAGCGGTGCTGTCAGATTCCACCTGAATGTTAAAAACAGGGGAATCCCAGTCAATGCTAACGATTCTTCCTCTTTGGCTTCGAACCAGCCTTATGAACGGCCCCCGACAAGAAGCAAAATGCGCCCCCCAACCCCCAACCCCCGCCTCCTCCTCTTTGTGAAGCAATAGCAAGGCCAGCCCCTGCAGCTGCTCGGCCGACAGAATCAGAAGCTCCAGTTGGCCGGCAAAGGGCGCCACAGCGTCCCACAGCTCAGACAAGGTGCCTTCACCGTTCGACTTCCTGCTCTTTAAGTGTGATTTTCGTTTTTGAGGGTTCCTCTTTGGGGTCCCTTAAAAAACACCCAAGTCTTTGTATCCTCGAAAACTCCTTGATGATTCTGTGGATGGCTACGAAAACCACACCGATTAGCGCCAGCTGGTAAGTTGTGTATCTAAGTCATAGGGGTTTTTCCATCCCAACCAGCCCATCCACAGCGTCAGGTCAACTTCAGAATTGTCCTTTCACTCAGTGTTGGCCCGCGCCTAGCTGCTTGCGGTGATTCAGATCCAGCGACACCTGGAGCTGGCATCATCTCAAAGGTTGGTTCAAAGGGATATCTACCAGAAACCCCCCCCAAACAACACATATCATTTTTCCACGCAAAAGATGGCAAAAGGAAGAAGCGACGCCACTTCTTGCCGGTGAACCTCCCTCCCTCTGTTGACCCCCCCGCCCCCACCTGCACCGAGGTTTTCGTGGCCGCCTGCAGCGCCTCCGCCCAGCTCTCCCGCGGGCCGTGGCCCAGCAGCGGCGTGATCCCCGAGACGTGGAGCCAGTCGTGGCCCGTGACCAGCGACGACCAGCGCAGCTCCGCGGCGTGCTCCGCGAAGGCGGAGTGCCGCCTCTTGGACAAAATACCCCGAGTTGGGCTGATCAATGAACATGGGCCTGAACCTTCTAAATCGGGAAGGTTTTTTTTGAACCTTGCAAAACTTCTTTAACCTGAACCTTCTAAAATTGTGGACTTGTTGAACCCATACCCCTTGATTTCTTTTGGTGGACAGCATTTAGGTGGGCATTCACATCCGCCAAGCTCTGTTGAGGTGGTTCCCCATTAAAGTTCATAGCAGCATGCCTGGCGGCCAAATGACAATTCTTGACTTTGCCTGTTTGGAGGGGAAAGTCATATTTGTTGGTGATTTCCTTTCATGGTCACCTCATGCAAAGTACCTTTTGATCAACCTGCATTTCCGGAACACATGTTGGCAGTCAAGCCAAACACCCCAACATTCATTCACCTCTGGTTGATTGTTGATCCGGAGAAACCCAAAGAAATACAAACCAATTGGATGAAATGAGTCGAGGGCCTTTCCTTCGACCCATTTGAGCGCTTCCCAAAGTGCTTTGAAGAGGCCATCCACCAACCACCAAAGACTCTTGGCATCCCCCCCCATCCCGAGAGCCTCTGGTAGTGGACAGTCTTCGCCTCCGGCAGCACGGTGAAAATGCCCAGGTCCCCATCGACCCGGAGGCCCTGGAACTTCACCGAGTGATGCTCGCAGCTGCTTTGAATCACATCGCCCATGGGCCCACAAGGCAGCACGCCTCAGCGACGTCCGACGTCCGCGAGTCCGGAGCCTTTCTGGCCTGAAATTGCGGTGAAGAACCGAGACTCGCGCATCCAAAGCCACTACCATCAATGAGCAACATGGGAAGGAAATGAGACGAGTCTGATTCTAGAAGCCACATGAGCACAGCCATCGCGATGTTGCTTCTTGACATTCTGCAGGCCAGCGTGGAGCGAGGTAACATGACGGCGGTATCGGCTACAAGGAAACGAAGCTGGCAAGGGATCAACACCTGCAGCTTTGCTCAAACAAGGGTTATACTCAAATCAACGTCTAGCCATAAGAAGCTGCCGACAAATGGGATTGAGTGCTCCGAATACTTGATTCCGCTCAGCTCCTTGTGCGACCCTCAAACAGACGAGCGTTTTGAGCGCAAGTGGCTGATCCACGAGACAGGGACCTCCAGCAGGGACAGGGCGACGGCGACATTCAGCTCATCCCCACCTGAAACCAGCCGACATCGGCCGGGTCTCGCGAATGGCATTGGCCCGCCTACTGAGCGCAAGAAGGGCTGTGGAAGGTGCGCTTCCACAGCTGCTTCCACGGGCTGAAAGCCTCAATTGAGATCAGAGGTGCAGACATACCCCAAATGGGTGTGGCTCAAAATTAACGGGAGGGGCAAACCGCAGGTTTCGGTCCATGCTTTTCCACTTGCCAGGGTTCCATTTTTGGTACCGATTTGTTGAGCCGCAGCCGAATCTCTGGTGATCTGAATCCATTTCGAACCGCCCAAGAAACCCAACGGAATGATTCGATGCCCCTACCAGCGATCGATGGTTTCAAAGTAGGATTTTGTCTACAGTAGGAGCAACAAATGGCGGAGGCCCCTGAAAAGGGTTGGCGCTGGACCCATTGTTCACGGACGTTCGCGGCCCGGGTGCGCAGCATGGCCTCTCCGAAGGTGGCCACCGAGAATCGCCGGAGCGCCTGGCAACCCCACAGGGGAGCGTTCCGCGCGTGCGGTTGGTTGGCGTAGCCAACTCACAGTTGGGGGTGGGGGGGAGCTATCCCTTGTTGGTACCAACTTTGAAACAAACCCATAAGACGTCCAAAACATGGACCATCATGGACCCCCCCCAGGTGTTTCGCTTTCCTAGTTCCTTCCTTCATAATCGTCAAAGAAGGGGGTGCTGAGGTACTGATAGAACTCAGCCGGAGAACATCTACAGGCAACTGGCCAAACATCCACCAAAGACCCAGGATTTCCTCTGTAGCATGTCCTGCTGAATTCGCCTGGCGCCCGCCTTCTTTGGCGCCTCCATTTCGGCACGACGCCACGCAGTGCTCGGATCCCGGATCCCGCCCGTGTTGCGTCACCCTTGCGCTTGCCTGCGGACCTGCGGACCTGCGGGATCGGCTGAAACCCGCATTTGGGTCTGCCGCTTTTTGAGGGCATCCCTGCCTTGCGGTTTCAACAAAAAAAGTGGTACCAAAATGAACCCACAACTTTAGGGGACTCCGAAATCCTAAAGGGGGACACCCCATTTAACTTTCACACTGCAACGTGAAGAACCTCGGTTTTCGCCGCACCTGCCGAGCCGAAAGCGGGGGATTCGCAGGGCCGGGCAATAGGTGCGCTTGTCTCTCGAGGAACCGGTGGATGGCTGGTGCGTGTCGCCGGGTTTCCCTAACCACTCCCAACAAATCGATCCTTCAAAGACACTCTTCCTGAGGGCGCTCTCCGAGAAAACCCCCCCTTTTTCAGCAGTCGTGGAAGGCTTTGAGCAAGTTCCCTTTGCACGCCCCTATTTTTCTCCACGCTCACATATTTCTGAGCACGGAAAGCGTGAAACAATGGATCTTTGCATGCCAAACCTTTGCAGGCATTTACACCTTCACATCGATCGACTTTCTTAGGGAACCCGAGCGTTTACATGGGTGTGGTTGTCAGGGTACCCTTGTTGGGTGGTTAGTAACCCAAGGACACGCATTGCATTGTGGGGACCCCTATTTTGACAGCCCAAGATTTTGTGGGGGCAATGAAAAAGCGGAACTCTGTCACCTCCCGACTTTGTCGGAAAGCTTACAAGCCTGGCCTTGCAAGCTTAGGATTGTTGAATTCGTGCTACGCCTCGGTCAGCTCAAGATCGTCCTGGGTCACGTCCCGCAGAGCCTCGACACAGAAGGCGCTCAACACTTGCCAAGAAACACGACAGCGGAAATCGGATGAAAATGATTGAACCCTGCTAATCATCTTCATGGGGGAGTCGTGCCCACCAACCATGTCCCGTTTAGGGTCGTGGCATTGGTGTGAAGCCCGCCGTTTCAACACGAACCCGCCTTGTGCACAGCTGCCTCAGTGAGACTCGGCGACGTGCAGCTTTGCTCACAACCAAAGGGACCCAACAGGGTCCCATAGCCTTACTTGCCCATCCGTGCCAACAGTGTCCAACCAGAGCCCACAAACTACCGGGCAAATAAAGGTAAATATTCTGAGTTCTAAAAAGTACTTCCTGAAATTGGTCGATTCCGCTTGAATCCCATGTGGCTCGGGCTTTCTAACCACACCGACAGCGACCAACACGACAGCCGGGACTCGGGACTCGGGACTCGGGACTCGGAACACCTGGGGCCGTCGGCCCACTTCCACTTGTCATCTGGCTGAGCCTCCTCCGGGTCCTCCAACTCAGCCTCTTGGAAGATGAAGGCCTAGGACGCGTCTCACTTCTGGAGCCCCAAACTGGGGCATTTGGTGTCCCGTTTTTGAAGCAACCCCAACCAAGAGGGTTACTAAAGAGACTCACACTTTGAGCCAACACCCGCTAGATGGCTATGATTGGGTGTGTCTCTAAAGCCCAAAATCGGTTTTACCTTCGCAACCCAAGCGAAGCTCTTTGAAAAAAAAAAGCTCTCGGGCAAGCCCATGTGGCTGTGGGTCAAAACCGTTTTGGGATGGTAGGTGAACTCACCACCCATTTTAGAACCTATTTTAGTGGGGATTGGGATGTTCACTGGGGGCTAACCGGGATTTTGACCCATGGCCATGTTAGTAGTAGATAACCAGGGGAAACCATTGTAACAGCCTAGAGGTAAGAAAAGCCGGCCAAAGCTGACGACATCATGCCATGGCTATTGCTGTGGCTGTGGCTATTGCTTGGATTGTGCTTGGCTTCTGAAGATAGTGCTCCATCATTTCCAGTGGGATGTTGCTACTAGTGGCGACTCAAATCATGCTAATGTTAACCCCAGATGAATAACCTCTGGTTGACTTTGATGGGGGTGTCCCCGTTTAGAGCCGGATCACTTTCGTGGGTGACACCCCTAGCAGGATGGTTTCTACTTTTGGGTCCTCGTGTGGAATGCGTCACCATGTTGGTGCTAGCAGGACTCGACTCAGGGTTCTGCAAGGTAGACAGAAGCAGATCCCAGTGGTTGGTTTCCTCAAAAGGAACTCCCGGTTGAGGCAAGCTCTGGCGAATGACGGGCACCTCAAACAAAAGCAAGTTCGTTGGACACTCATCAAAACACCCAATCACCAGAACCTCCTGGTTCAAGTCTACCGAGTCAGAAAAAATGTGTGTTTTTTTAATGGGTCCCGGACCCTTTTGGTGGTCCTTTTGAGTTCCCTTTGCAAACCATTCAAAACAACGAGCTCTCTGTGCCAATGGTACCCCCACCTTCAGGGTGCCGATGCCTTTCCGCATCCTCTCCGAGGTGATGTGCCTCGAGGATTCGCTTTGACAGGCTCGGGACGGGTGTGTCTCACAAACTTCGGAAACCCCTCAAAGGGGTGAAGCTTCCTGGTGTCCCTTTAAACAAACCGAAGGGCACCCTTGGCCTCAAACGACACAGCAGCATGCCCCCGAAGGCCATTTGTTGGACCCCAAGGACTTCAAAGCCACTGCCACCATGGTGGGGTTGGAACATACAAGCCAACTCCCAGGGTCCTCTACGCAGGGATTCCCGATTTTGGGGCCAGGGGAAACTGCCCTCAAACCGAGAAACATCAACCCACTTCAGCGATTCCCAAGGCAACACCTGGCAAGGGAGTCGCCCAATGCGTCATCTGGGACTGTCCCCAATTCCAACCTTGCTCAGGTTGTAGTCTACCCCAGCGTTTCCAGGCAGGCCACCATTGGAAAGTAACCCTTCAAGTTAACCTTTTGTGGTGCACACGATGATTTCTCCTGGCAACTGGAAGCACTGAGCATGTCTGAAGGGACTACTTCTTTGGCCTCTCAGCCCCCAGCAAGGCTTCCACAGCGCCCAGCTTGCCCAGCTGAAGGAACTCATTGCGGGTAATATGTCCGACCTGGTGTGTGTGTGTGTGTGGAAGCTTACATGGGTGTGTTTTTGAGGATTGCTTTTCGCGGGGCTGTTGAAAGGAGAAAAGGAAAATAACTTCTTCTTTTTCTTGGGGGGGGGGGCCTAGTTTGACAAATGGCTGGTTTTTGGGGGACATTTAGAGATCGATGTTCGTTGCCCTCCGGACAACTGCCATAGACAAATGTAATTTTGGAACCAAACCATACGACATGCCATCGTCACTCACATGGGACCCCGGCGTGAGAGGCGTCCAGAAAGTTGAAGAGCAGTCTCGGGTCGAATCGACCCTGAAAGCAGCGGCGAGTCGAGCGCTTGGGAAAAGCGGACATTTTAGTTGGGTGCTTCTGAAGTGGTATCGGTCCCCTTTTGAAAGAAGAGGAAACCAAAAGGAAACCAACCACCTAAACGAGTCCAACTCAGTTTGAGAAACATTCCAGGGACCCTCGAGAGGGGGTAATGACACGCTGTTTATCATTTACATGAGGATTCAGGTCCACCAACCGGTTGCGACCCGGCTGCTCGAACAATCTCCAAGTTCAGAAGGGTACCCTCACTCCCACTTTGCCATGGCCGTCTCCCCCCCAACCCCCTATGTTCTTTCCGAAAGGTTCTGCCCGGAGCCGTGGAAGGGGTCCTTCGCTCCGAACGCCGCCGCCCGCCGGCCGAACCTCTCGAATTGGGGGCGCCAACCCCCACCTTGAAGCCGCACATCCGACACGCGTTGACGAAGTCCTGACCAGAAAGCCCACGACCTGCGCGGCAAGAAGAAACCGAACATCCGATGGATCTGAGTCAATGGGCTTCCCTCAAACCATCGAAACCCAACTCAAAACTCAAAACTGAGGAAAAAGAACTCAAAGCTGAGGGCCACCAAAAGGCTGCCGGGCAAAGATGTGTATAAATGGAGCCCTACGAAATGGAAACAAGGACTGAAAGCTGTGGTCCCTGAAGTGTGGCTCGCCCGGCCTTCGCGCCGCATCCTCCTCTTCTCCGGGATTTGGCTCAGGTCCGTCCCGCCCATGTCCAGCGGAGGCATCTTCTGCTCCCAGGCATCGTACGCGTCCTGCCGGACGAAGCGACCGGGGCTGATCCGGGTGTGTCTTGCTTTTTGGCGGGACCCCTTAGTTGCGCTTTCCTTTGGCTTCCCTCAAAACCACTCCAACAAGGGTAACCTCAAAAAGAGACATATATATATATATATGTACCCCCGCAAGGCGGTTTTCAGCGGAACGAAGATGCCCCGTGCAAACTGGCATGCCACCGTCGTAAGAGCGGAACGAAGATGCGGCTCCTCGAGGTTCTCGTACTTCTCCACCAGGTAGTCACGGAGCTTCTCGACCTTTGCCCCAAAAAAAGACCAAGCCTCATCCTCGCTCGCGAACTGCATGGCAAGCAAAACCTGACCGCTTGGCAAGCTCAAAGCTCCGGACATCTTCCACAAAATCTCGGCCGTCGAAGTTGCCCAGGAACTCAAACTCTTTGCCTACAGCACACGGCCAGTCGACGCCTCAAGAAAGATGATATACCCCTTTCCAGCTTTGGATGCGGGCTGGTGAGCTGTCCGGAGAAGTCCTGCGAGGCGTCGGAGTGGCCAGAAGAGGCCAAAAAAACACAGCGTTGTCCAATCTCCACAACCCGAAGTGTCCAAAAGCAGCTGCCGGGGGGGGGGGGGAGTGGTTCATTCCGCGTGTGCCTCCCAAATGCATTGACCCCAGTGTACACGCCCGAACCTCATTGCGAGCTGAGCTGGACAGCCAATCCTTGTCAATGAAGAAGAAACAAACCTTGACGTCTTCCTCACTGGCATAGCCTGCAACGAATATTTGAGATCAGCACTCTATGACATGCAATACATCACTGTTCGTGCCGATGCACTACATGACGTGACGTAACATTGCACTTCGGATAAAACAACAAAAGGACACCTTTGCATATTTGGGGGCCGATGCCTATTTTCAGAACCCTCCATGCTGCCTTGCGGACCCATCATGAAGTCCATCCACTCCTGGCCGAGAGTGGACATGGGAGTTTCTGAACATGGTGGAGAAGCCTCCCCTTTTGGTTGGCTTCTTAATTAAGGGGAAGCCAAAAGCAGACCACCAAAGGGAATTGACGAATTCCTCAAAAAAATGGGAATTTGGGAACTTGGGAATTTGTGTCATCTCGGAGTGTGGTGCGACCCCCGGGTTCAACGGTTCTGCCCGCGCGACCAAGACTCTTCTCACTGCGAAACGCCTGCGTGGTCAGTGACCCTGAGCGATCCGCGTCCATATACTTGAACGCTGCCTGGCACTCGCCCGCGTTTCTCGATTCGGTGTAGACGGGTGATGCTACCCTTGTTAGCATTGTGTTGCTCAGGGACAGCAAAGGGAAACAAAGATACTAGTGCCAGGGTCGCCAAGTTGAGTTGTCTTTTTTTGAGACAACTGGATCCCAAAAAACTGACAGCGGGCGATCCAGGTGCTCGATTTGGTTTCCCTCACGAAGAAAAGGAACCCGTACACTCCCTCCAGCCATCATGGAAGTAGACAGGGCTTCCCCAAGAGGAAAGTAGTCTTCCAATACCCTCCTGTCAGCTTCCATGATTGTTGGAGAAACTCCACACACGCGCGCACACACACACACGGCGCATGACTGTTCGAGCCTTCAGAGTGCCGAAGCGAGTTTCCAAGAACTTCCTGACTCGCTCCACTCGTTGGAGCCTGGCAGCGAATTGTTTCGAACTCCACCGAGCGTGCTGGGTGCTTCTCAGAATCAAAGAAGGCCCCAGGAATGGTTAGGTTTCCTTTTGCCTTCCCTCTAAGAACCAACTACCAGGATCGCCAGTTGCTGCTTTCTCCCAACAATTGCGACTGATTTTCAGGGTGAAAACAAGCAGCAACTTGGCTGTCTAGGTAGAAAGGGTGGGGAGGCTTTTCCGAATCTCTTGAGAAACTCAATGGCGCGATGTCGCAAGAAGGCCCCGGCTGGAAGTAGGCGCTCAAGATGCTGAAGCCTCGGCAGAGCCGCCGACGAATACCAACATCTGCGACACGGGTGTGTCTTTTTCTAGGAAGACCCCCGCAATGGTGGTGCGACCAGAAAAGTATCCCGAAACAAACAACCACCTATGCCAAAAGTGCTTCATTCCCATCCATATGACTTGGTTTGCAGTTGCACGGTGAGGGATTCAGGGGCCAATCAACCGAAGGTTCCTGGACTACAATAGCAGTCGTTTTCAAGGGGATTCACTAAACCCATTGCCACTCAACCAGGCCCCCAAGACCATGTTCCCTATGAAGCCAAGGCCATGTTCCCAAAAAACACCAGAGGTTTGCAACCTACCCACTTTCCCGTGTTGCACTCGAAAACTGAAAAACCGAACTGGGGGAGCTGCAGTAGAACTCTCCTTCCACGATGCTGCCATCCACCTGAATGTCCAGACCTTCGAGGCCAAAGGCATTCCCAGTCCAGTGACATCCCGAAAACGATTCGACTCTGGGGGTTGGTTTCCATCTTGCTTTACCTCCTAAAAGCAAGGTTCACCCTACTGAACTTGGCGAACGAATGCAAAAGAAGGTCCCAAGTTACTTCCTGGGACTTGCCGGGGTTTCAAACTCCAAAAGATGCACATGATTTGTTGGACACGAGTCTCGCGGAAAGCAAACGTCCCATTCTTCTTATGACCCTCAACCCAGCGGATCCACTTACCTGGCAAAGGAAGGAAACCATGGCAACCAGCCTTTACAAAGCAAGAGGAAAACGGTTGGTTACCGAATGTATCCTTGAAACGCTTAAACAGGAGCTTCTCAATTCGCTTCCTCCCTTTGCCCAAGTCCCCTGAAAAAATATGAAGTACGTCCAGTAGCGCAACAAAAACCGTGTAAAACCAGGCAGCAAAAGATGCAAAGCAAGCGGAAGGTCTGTGAAGGGACCGAGACGTCCTTCCGAGCGGCACATGAAGAGCTCCAGCGCTGGGCCCTTGTTGGGATTCAGCCCCGCGGGGTGCCGCGCCTGCGGGCCGCTTCTCGTCTCGTGTAAGGAGTCGCCGTGTGTCCCAAGGAAAAACGAGAAACCAAAGACCCGCAACCGCAACTTCCCTCCCCTCCCCCACCGGATTTCGGAGCTTTGGGACGCTTCTCCCATTTCGGGGAAATCGCCCCCCCCCCCCCCCCATCGGGCGCGGATGGCTCGAGCGAGCCGAGAAAAGTCGATCGATCGCGCCGCCTTGCGCAGGGCCCGGCGGAACTCCGCGAAGGAGGCCTCCCCGGAGCCGTCGCGGTCCATGTACTGCCACAGCTCCGCCCTCGGATCCGCCGGCGAGCGATCGAGCGAGCGAGCGGTGAGCGGAGGGTGAGCGGATGGCTGCACCGCTTCTCGCTTGAAATGATCCCGGGTCTAAATGACACCTGAACGGTAAATCATGGCGGTTCTATTAACCCAACCTTTGTTTCAATGGCAACTGACCTCCAGGGAGTGGGTTGAGAGGATGGCACGATGCTGCACCAGGGCCCTAAGAAGCCTTGCAAAAACCCAGCGGTTCACACGTGCCAGGATTCAGAGGCGATCTCTTCGCTTCCTTCTCAGCCTCCCGAGAAAAAACTGGGCCGAACCTGCGTGGCTCACATGGGTGTGGCTCAAACACATGTGGCCATGGGTCAAAATCCCGGTTAGCCCTCAGTGAACATCCCAATCCAACCACTAAAATAGGTTCTAAAAAATGGGTGGTGAATTCACCTACCCCAAAAGGGAGAAAAGGGTACCATTCATGTACTAAAATGGCACCTTGGTAGATGAAGCCAAAGACTACAACCTGCCGCAGCCCTCGTGTGAATTTTTGAGCCACACCCAGATGGGTGTTTCTGTCTCAGCCTGCCTCAGCTCGCGCCGCGTCATCCTCCGTCTCTCCTGCCAACAATCAACTAAACATACCACAAGATACAAACTGCGAGGGGGGTTCATCCCTAACTTTTGGCAGCTTGAGCAAACAACAATTGTTAGGGGTCCCCTACATGGAATGAGTTGTAATTGGGGAGGACATCATCTAATTACATGGTTGGAGTTCCAACTCTTGAAGTTCGTAGCCATTGACTCTTCCACCCAGCATGGAAGCGACACAGGCCCATGTTGAAACTTCTGGTGTCACTACCTTATGTCCGCATCCGTTTATGGTTGGGCCCTACTTGGGTGTCCGGCCAAGTTAGTAAGTTGTTGGTAACCTAGGTCATAACCCACTTGTAAGTCACCCTAAGCGGGGTTGACCTTTGGCTGACCACGAACTGAACATCCAAGTGCCCTTCAATTGGATCTCTTTTTTTGCGGGTGCCATCGGGTGCCCATTGCTAGGCTGGGTTTAAAGGAAAACCTAGGGACAACCCACCAATTTTGGGGGTCCAATAAAAATTACAGGGGCCTGAAGGCTCTCTGCAACCCCTTTGTGTTGACAGTTCCAGTGATTCCAAGTCTCATCGAACCGTTTCACGCCCGCCTCCCTGAGCCGCCCGAGCGGCTTCAGCCGCCCGCGCACGCCGCGCCTACAGACCGCTCGAAGCTCAACGTCTAATCGGGAAACCGGAAGGTTTGTTAGCAGGATTCCACTTTTTGACTACTTCACAATAGACTAAACCCAGAATGGTTCATTCCCCCCAAAAGGAGAACTTCCAGGGCTTAAGTCTATCTTGGGGTAGTCAAAAAGTGGAACCCTTTTTGTTTGTACCGGTGCTGGCAAATATTTGATTGATGATGCTGGTTTGTCCAACAACTTGCACAGAATCGACCGTTTAGAAAGAGACATGAACCTCAAATACAACCAGCAACCTCTGGTTGCTTTCGAATCGCAAAATAGGGAAGACACCTGGTGCTGATGATGAAGGAATCATACAGCAGTGTTTGCGATGCCACCGAAGGTGGAGATGGAAAGATCGATGCAACAATATGCAGAGAACCAGATGCCAAGGAACTCATCTTGCCAAAGGAAACCTTTGCGGCTCAACTTCCTCTTCTGCAACCGGAATGCCATTCAGAGACAGAAAGCACAAAGCGAACTCTTGGCCCAAAGACTTCGCAATCGGTGACACGGTGAGCAAACTATGGGGAAAGCGAAATAAGGCGAACCCGAAAACGCGAGGGAAGGGATGGCTTGGTGCGATATAATGTTGGGAATCCTGACCCTGAAGATCAGAGAAGCTTCAGACAGCAAACCACTCACCTTGCTTGCCCCCCTCTCAAGTGGCCTTCCACTCGCAGAGGAAGATGCGAAGCTTGTCCAAATCCTGCGAAGGACATCTGTCTACCACTCATCGGAATCTTCCACTTGCTTGTTGACACCTAGAAAAACAACAAACAAACAAAAACATATGTCCAGTAGTGAAATGGAATTCCTGTAAAACCAACCATGAAAAAACAGAATCCTCTGTTCAGCAAATTGAACCGAATCGACTCGAACTATTTCGATCGAACCTCGAGTGTCCCAGCGCCGTCCACGAGCTCCAGCATCTGTGGCGGTATCCAACCAGAGTTTGTCGGTCTTTTGCTGGTGCGACAGGAGGGAATGTGGTCCAGTTCTTGATCCCCTTAAAAAGGGAAACCAGCAGCAAGTTTCGTCCAACAAGCCCACCCCCGAGGCCCATGGTGGGTAGGGGAAAAAGCCAAACGACCACGAGGACTTGCTGCCTGGAGTTCGGACGGGGAGATGGAGCCATTTCCCGACTGATCCAGGAAATCAAAGATGAGCTCCGCCTCAAAACCAGAGAATGCGTCTCGGCTTTACGGCTTCACGTGGGACCGCTTCAGCAGCAACTTGGGTGAATCTAATGGCATCCAGTATGGATGTCTATGTATATACACATATATCAGTCTGTACATACAAAAATACATATACGTATGTATACGTATAATATGTATATTATATATATATATATATAGAGAGATTAACTGCTGATCACATTGCAAAGGATTTTCAGGCACCAGCATAGTCATCAGCGTGACGATAGCCAAGCCTGGCCAGGAGAAAGAAGCGATTGTGAGCGGACTGAGTTGTCTTGGTTCCCCAAAGGATATCAAAAATGGGTACCCCAAATGGAACCCTAGTAAATGGAAACAGGGACTAAAACCTGCGGTCCCCTGGTGAATGAATTTTGACTCATACCCATATGGGTGTGGCTCAAAAGTGAACAGCTGGTGTTACGCAGGTCTGAGTACAATTTTTGAGCCACAGTCACATGGCATTCCCACTGGCGTGTTGCCATTTGGGTAGCCTGTCAAAATAGTGAGACAAATACAACAAATTAGGGTTTCCGCTTGGTTTCTCGATTGAAAACGACAGGGTCAAAAAAACACCCTCAAAAGAAACAGGGAAGATTAAATGGTCGCCCTGGCTTTTGTGGGTACTGTGGGTGGCCCTCACGTGTCCTCCCCAACAGTAGACTTCCAATGCTCAGCGACTCATCTGGAACTCCTTGACAGCTCTCTCAATCTGCCTCCGTAAGCCTTCACAGAACTGCAGCTTGTTCAAATCCTGCGGGCTGCAAGAAACTTCTCACAGAAAGCCAGAGTTTCCCCCTTTTTTGAAAGAGGAGCCGTCGAAAATCCATCTCTCGTCCTTGTTCTTCTTCCGCTTCGCGGATTTCTTCGAGCGATACCTCGCGGATTTCTTCGAACGTCGCGCCCCGCGGCCCGCGGCCCTTGTGCTCGGCACGCTGTGAGGAGGATGGACCGGAGCCGGTCGCCCAGAGGCTGCAGCTGCGGATCCTGAAAAACAACTTCTGCTCACATGGCCATGGGTCAAAATCCCGTACCCCCAGCGGGTGCACCTACCCCAAAATGGTACCATTGGTTTTGACCCACATGAAAAGATGAAGGGCCACATGAAAAGAGCGGCTTCCCCGAGATGAGCGCAGGGATCCTTTCAAGGGGGCTTTGGGGCCTTCACAAGCCTTTTGGGAGGGGGTGGTGGGGCCTTCGGGCCTTCATTTTCCCAAAGGCAAAAGCAAACAGCCCTGTCTCCATTCTCAAGGTAAGTGCCCTCTCCTCCAGAGGGAGCAGCATCCTGCGGTGGCCTGCATGACTGCGTGCACCCGTCATGGAGCACCCCGAAAACACCCCAGATGTTGACCGCTCCCATGAACCCCAAATAACCAGCTGAGCAGCGGGGGTCCGAAACCAATTCACTTGTGGCGTAAAGGTTTACATGTGTGTATGTATATATATATATATGCCTTACACAATCCCATTAAGCCAGGTAGTCGAACCACCTACTACCATGGGCATCGGTCTTGAGCCCTGCTGAGGTGGTACGCATGTCATGCTGCTCGGGCGCCCGGCTGTCCGGGGTTGACAGGGCAAAGTCCATGAGGGGTCCGAGTGCCGCCAGCATCTCCTGACCGCGTCACACGTGACCTTGAGGCATCACATGGCCCTGGATCAAAAGCCCGGTTAGCGCCCAGTGAACATCCCAATCCAACCACGAAAATAGGTTCTAAAATGGGTGGTGAGTTCACCTACCCCAACATGGGACCATGGATTTTGACCCACAGCCACATGCGCGTTGTGGACAAAATCCGCGGAACGCGGGAGCAACTGCACTTACAATAAATGCAACCCTGCTGGTAGGAACCAAAACGAGAGGACGAACCCCCGAAATCCAGGCGGTGCCCAACGGAGGCAAGCGAGATGCCCTCCCTCCAAATGATGCACCAAAGCTCGTCCTATGGCATTCCCGGATGCGGGAGGGGAGGACTCAACCAAACTGGGTGTCTCCTTTTCTGCCTTTTGGGGCTTCTTTTTGGGGTTCCCCTTTTTGGGGTTCCCCTTTTTGGCTGGTGTTAACAAAAAGACATCTAGTAACGAAACTAAAGAAACGCAGAATAACAAAACATATAAAATCCTGAAAGAAGCCCAACCTTTCTTTCTCGGGGCCCGCTTTGAAACCAACCCCTGGACCTCTCACTTGGCCACTGCCATCCAACCAGCGATCGATATCGCGCTTGCGCGCTGTTGCCAGGCCTGGTGCTCCCCGAAGTCCAAGACGGAATCCCTGCGATCGATTTTCAACCCAAGGTAACCTGCGAGAAACTATCTGGGTTCCCAAAGTGGAAACTCGGCTTTCCTGGTGTCCCTCACGTGTCCAAAAAGGGTATTCTCAGCAAAACAACGAGGCATCCATGTGGGTATGGCTCAAAATTAAAGAGCTGGGGTTACGAGGGTTTTAGTCTTTGGCTCCATTTACCAGGGTGCCATTTTGGTACCACTTCTTTGAGCCACAGCCATATGGGTGTGAATCTTCAGAGTTGGAATCCCATCAAAGTGGCTGGTGGACATAAAGCCTGACCGAACTCTGATGTCGACAGGATCTCATGTTGAGATAACTAACCCCAGCTGCAATGCTTGTAATCTCAAGTTGGTGGTTCGCATCCTACTCGACTGCATATGTCAAAATAGGTGCAAGAAGCTTCAAGAAGCTGTTCCTTTTGGGGAAGCCCCACGTCCATTTCCATGATTCTTGGACAGAGGCTATACTCGGTAGACTGAACTCCTAGGTTCCTTGTGGAGAAATCAACTGGCGCCTCCCCAGCTCCTCCGTGGCCACATCGTGGTGTCCGTGCCCGGCCTGGCGACCCGGGCGTCCATGAACCTACCTAAGGGAAAAAATCCCCGCCGAGGTTTCCCAGTTCTGGTGCTCGCCGACGTTTGATGATTGAGAATGGTTCAAATTTAGAGCTCCTCCCCCCCCCTCGTCCTTTTCCTTTGACCAACCCCCAAACCTGTTCGAATGCATGGCACGAGATTGCACCTTGAGGAACTCGATGCGCTGTGATGCCAGGCCGAAGGCGGTGAGCCTGCCGATGCCAACAAACCGAGACGCGCCAAGTGCTTGGCACTTTGCCATACGAAGGGAAGATGTGTCTTCAAAATGGGAGACACCGCAAATAGTGTGTGTGTGTGTGTTTTCCCTGTTCCCCGTTCAACCAACCCCAAACACTCCCCTCAAAAACGACACCGAAAACCACCATTTCCCAAACAAACACATGTTAACTTCTGATGAATCTGAAGGACCGTACTAATCCGGAGCGGTTCCCTTTTGGTAGGGAAATGATCAATCTTAGGGCCCTGGTTCCTCTCAGAGTCCGGATCAACATTAACATGTCGAGTAACCAAGAGAAACAGGTCAACATGGTCCTGGCATACTGTCTAAAACTGTCTAAAAGTAATTTAACTTGTTGGATCCTTGGGAAGATAGACTGTAGGGCTTGAAACCACAAAAGGAAAAGGTTACCATGGCCTCTCAAATGGGGGTTGATCAAACGGTCCGCTAAACATGGGGTGACCATTCGGGAAACCACCAAAAAAATATAGATCACGACTTTCCCACATGGGAGAGTTACTCATGGTGAAAACTGGGGGCCGAACGGAATACCCTCCCCCAGGCGATTCCATGAAAGCTCCCGAACGGACCCCTTTGGAAGACTTGGTAACCCATTTACAGGATTGGCAAATTGGGGGAGCTTCCGGCTGTTAGTCTGCAGGGAGGGTGTGGATCAACCCAATTCTACAGGGGCAAATTGGGGGGAGCTTCCGGCTGGTGGATCAAGCCCCAAACCAAGTCGGAGGAACAAGGATCCTTACATTACACACCTGAACATTGCCTTGTAAATGGAGGTTTCCTTTGATTTTGGTGTTGAAAAAGCCACATGTGTCAAATGGTGGCAAAATGGAAATCTTTTAAGGAGCCCTGAGGAAACCCATCGGATTCCAAGCGGGCGATTCCGAGCACGCCGCGGGCTTCCGAGCACTTGCCAGGCCTTGGGTCCAGCAGTCGACCGATGCCATCGCGCTGCGCCTGAAAGATTGGCCAAGCTTCGTGGCGTATGGCTGATATGGCTGTGGCTCCAAAAACCGGAACTCCAAAATGGGTTGCCCGATCGGTAAGTGGAGACATGGACCAAAACCTGCGGTTTGCGTAACCTCCTGCTTGATTCCTTCCACTTTCGAGGTGCTTTGTAACATGTGTAACCCTTCCGCCAAACCCTCCCTAACAATCAACCTTCCGCCAAACCCTTCCGCGACGTGGTGTGGAAGCCGCCTTCTGCACGGGTGGCTTCCAGGACGCGTTTTGCTGGAAAACTGCTTCTGCGAGCTTCCGCGGGCGTAAGTTTGCAGCATTTGGAGACAGGGTTCTTCGGCAACTAGGTTTTAGCCTCGTTTTTGAGCCTTTTTTGTGCCTTCCGGCATTAGCATTTGTTGCTTGCTGTTGCTGACAGCACAAGCCGCAGACGAGGCGGTGGTCTACAAGTGGGCATGTGGTGGGAAAGGGAAAACTCCCCCAGAGATCGCGCCCCTTCCGCAAAGCTTTCAAGCCTTGCATCCGCGGAATCCGCGTCTAAGACATTTGGCTTTTGGGTTCCCTCCCGCCTTTTTGGCGTGCGCCTCAGTAACTTCACTCAAATGCTGCTTGATCCTTGGCACCGTTGCAAGCAAACACACGCCGTACAGACCTTCCGTGCAGCGTCCGTGGCCTTCCGCGACTGCGACTGGGACGCATATCTCCAAAGAAGAACTTTATTCACATACAGAAAAAGTGAGGAGCCAACAATTAATTGAGGAGCAACAAAAATAGCCTCAAATGACATGCTGCTAAGCATCGACACCTTAAACCTGGCTGGTTTCCTGGTTGGGCTGGTGAATGAGTCTTGGTTGGGCGATTCCGAACCCGCATGCGAAAAGAACCTATTTTTTTTGGTGCAAACAGATCAAAAGCCGTTGATGAGAACCCCTTCAACGGGTCCCCTGAGTTCAGTCCGAACCTGCTCATCTCCATCGTCGTCCAACTCCTGAACCTACCGAGCGTCTCAGCAACTGTCTCAAACTACCGGGCAATCAAGGGGCTCCTGGGCCCTCCAACCCAAATGGGTATGGGTCAAAATTGATCCACCAGGGGACCGCAGGTTATAGTCCTTGTTTCCTTTTGTCAGGGTTCCATTTTGGGTACCTAGTCTTGACCCACACCCAAATCATTGGTCCATCAATGCTGAGTCGCTATCTTGCGCGCATCCAGCCTGCGCCTCTTTCTGGCAGATGTCATCCACCAAAGACACCGAGCCAGGCAGCCTCGCCCTCAGCGCCTGGTCGAAAGGTCCGGAAGCGCCACAAGCGGCTCTGGGTATCTCAAAATAGCCCCCTAACCCCCCCCCCCCAACAAAATGCGCGGCTTTCTTTTGGTGTTCCCACTTGGCCAACTCCGGGAAAGAAAAACAAAGTCTCAACAACCCTCCGCCATTTCAGCGGCGCCGCACCGAAAAGCCGCGTGTTGGCGCCCAAACCCACCGGTGCCGGCCTTGAGGCCTTCCTGCAGCCCGGGATCCTTCTGCGCCAGGGGAGCCTCGGGCCAAGTTGACATCCCACTTTCGGCGGTCGAGCCGCGGCCCCTGCGATGAGACACCTCAGAAGCGGCTCCTCCTTGCAGAGCCTCCGCGGGTGATCAAAAATTCGGCGGAGGAGAAGGCGGATGGAGATCGCCGGTATATCTAACCACTCAAACTTGCCAACCCGCCCATGTACCCCGCTGCACTCCCAAGCAAGGCTGCCCATCTACAGGCCTCTCTCCCGATAAAAGAAACACTGAAACGGTGGCTTTCCTTGAACACCAACCCCTGAAAAGGGTAAGAACTCTGAAAACAGGAACCACATTCCGCAGATAAGTTCAGCAAGGCCTCTCGTAATACTGCAGCAGCTCTGCCTGCAGGGCCAAGCAAACCAAACAGAAACAGTCCTCCAGCTTTGTGGGGGGTTAGGGGAAGGGGAGTGGGAAATAGTTGGCTTATCTCAGCCTCGGTGACCCGAAATGAAGGGGGGTGCCATGGTGGGCTTCCCTGTCTGCAAAAGGAGGCGCTCCCATTTTCACGGCGCAATGCGGTCTACAATTAAACCTCTTCCAGCTTGGAAGCAGGCGGCGTCTGACATGACCAGTGGGGCTCGTGGAACAACGCCCGATACAAGGCGGTTCCATTTGCACAACTGGCCAGTGGGTCCTTGCTAACCAAGCTCGGGCCTTGAAAAAGACGATCCGCCCAAATTGCCAGGTCATTTATCCCGCGGAAATCTCGTCATGTTCGAATGACCCAAAAAGGGGTGGATGACTCTACAGACCACAGGAGCTGGGGGTGTTTTGACCGTGGCTCGTATGATGACCAGAGGGATCCTGGGCTGGCTTCCCTCCATCTTGGGCTTTGCCGGCCTATGTGAAACCATGTGCTGACTCACTTTGCGTGCCAGCAAAAGCGGCGAACTACGCCTGCCAAAATGGCGGCTGAACCATTCCACAAAAGCGTTCTCTCCACACTGCTGCCTGAAACGATGGCGGTATATGCACCTGTCGCTGCAGAATTGACGCACAGTATTAGAATTATGCAAATTTCCAAGGCAAAGGGTTTGCACCTGCAATTTCCGAGCCACAAGCCTCTCTTCGCAACCCACATCCAGAAAACGCCCACAGCTGGAAGGTACAGCAGAGCATAGGCCACCACCTGGCTGAAGAAGAAGCTGATCAAAGTTTCGGGAGGGGCATCAGCTTTAGCCAGTGCCAGAAAGTTATCCAAACAGAGGCAAACCAGCGGGGTGATGGGCAAATAGACGTAATGAAACGAAACTCCGGCACTGCGCTCCAGGAGGTTCAAGACCTCTTGGCTAAAGGGACCTCGCATATGAGCGGAGAACGCCTCCAAGGAACCATACCAAGTGATGATAGCATCATGAATGTATTCACGATCAAAGTCGCTGCTACAATTCACATTCATCACATCAAAGTTGGCCAGCTCAGATCTGAGCTGTGCACTGCTCTTCTGCTGTTGCCATACTGCAAGCACCATTGCAGGGAGGAATGTAGCAGAAGCAACGGCCACTACGAGCAGCATCTCAGAAGGATTGCCTCCATCTGGCCCGGCCCTGGCTTGCCAGTATGCAAAACAAGCAACTTGCCACCAAAGGAACAGTATGCACTCGGAAACGTCATTGCTCACAGGCGCGATCACGATACGTCCATCTGGATTCAGCTTGCGAAATGCGGCGATTTCGAAGACACACCACAGTCTTGAGAGCAGCGGCGGACTCCACAGCACCCGCAATTCTTCGGAAGCTGCTAGGAAAGCTGAGATCGACATGATACCTTGGCGCGTCTTGGTCTTGTCAGTCTGATCAATGCATGCAAAGTCCAGGAAGCACTTGTCCTTCTTGTAGAATGGCATGTGCGGAAACAGTAGGCATCCCGAGAGAACCCCGATCAAACCAAATACCTGCATCCAGCAACTGGATGGAATCACATGATTGAAGTCAAGGGCGATGGCCTGCCAAAGCTCGAAAAGAGGAAGAACGTTGAGCATGCACAGGGCGAAGCCGAGGATCACCCCGCACGCCCAGCAGGACATGATGGTAGGCCAACCAAACTGCAGGAGGAGTGAGAGGAATTTCAATCTACCACTGGTATTCCAGGAGTGTGAAAAGAAGAAGTGAAAGCCATCGGTGGTCTCGGAGCTGCAAAAGAGCTGCTTCTTCTGAGCCTGGCTTCGAGCGTGCGGGTCTGCAAACCAGAAGCTGTGGGCGCGAAACAGGGTCTTCCTCAGCGAGATGCTCCGCATCAACTGCTTCTCCGTGTCACTGGGCCAGGTCAATGGGCTGCAGAGTTCAGGGCCCTCCGGCTTCCCGACCATGCGCATGGCATTGAGCCCTTGACAAGATTCGTCACCTTCAGGGATCGGTGCCAAACCATCGTATTCCAGGTCAGAGCCGGGCTCAGGTGAAGAGCACCAGGGCAAAGGATCAACTGTCTCACAGTGCTTCTCGCAGCAACTCATGCCGAGTCAGTCGGATGAAAAAAAACGGGTTCTGACTTTCTCTGAAAGTCTTGGCCGAAAACTGTGCAATTTTGCACATAACAAACATAATTCTTGAGCCAGAGGTGGACATCGGAGTTTCTCCCCCCCGTAAAACATCCCGGCCAAATCTGTTTAAGATAGGGTACAAAAGCTTTGAAACCTGAAATGAGAGGCGTTTAAGACTTGCAGGCCCTCCAAACTGGTTGTCCAGCATTCATGACCAAAATCAACCCATTCCCTCAACACAGACCTGCATATATATATATATAGGTCAAACAGCCAGTTGTTTGCAAGGCCGGCGCGATTCCTGAGCACGCACACACAAATACACAACTATTAACACCTGCAAACCCCTGTAAATCATGCGCCACGCATGCGAATTGGACACGCATACACAACTACATAGCACACACACACACAACGAAGTACCGCCGTTCTGCGTCCAATCCCTGAGTCAAACTCAAGCCCGAAGTTGAGTCACAGCTGCAATCGAGGTTGGAAAGCTGCGCCACAGAAATACCGGGAAGCGTTCAATGGGAGCCACACATCCGAAGCCCCGAAACTATGTCAGCCAAAGCGCGGGTTGGGGACCTGTAACAAATCGATGGGTTTCCCTGGTGAATGGTTTATAAAACCCATCTAGACCAGTGCGTTTAACCACACTAACCTAAAAAGGACACCTATGGTCCTTCACCTTACTCGGGAACTGATTGTGGCTCATGTGTGTCTCTGTCTGTCTGTCTGTCTGTCTGTCCGTCTGTCCGTCTGTCTGTCTGTCCGTCTGTCCGTCTGTCTGTGGCATGCTATTCTTCCTCGCCTGAGACATTGCAGCTTCACCAAAGGAATACGCATCAGCATCCGCATCGTAGGCTGCATCCGCGTCAGCATGCCTGGCGAGGATTCGGCGCACGTGTCAGAAGGGGAACCAGAACTGGTCTTCCTTTTGGCTTCCAACTAGGGACCCCAGGAATGGACTTTGGCTATGCTTTCCACTTCCCATTCAGATGAAAAGGGCACCGAGCCTCGAAAAGCCCACACACACACACACACGCGCGCACAAATCAATTCCCAAACACATGCCGGCATCGCAGAACAAAGTACACGGAATCTCGCTGCTGCTCCTGATTCTATGCCAACATGTGTTTCCCGGCACAAAGTATGCAGTTGTCCTCTTGTAGCAGGATGATGGGCTCTTTCTCAGATTCAACTGATTCCTGCAGTGTCGGCAGCTGAATGGTTGTCTGTTTTGAGAATACCCTTTTTGGATATGACTCATGGAACCTGGGACTGTTCTTTTTTGCTTTTACTTCAACTGGTACAGTATTCTGCTCATTCAGAGTATGCAACCCTAAACCGACCCCAATCCCACCTGAAACCAACAATAACCCTCAAAGGCCCTAAACCTGCCCGAAACTGGCTCTAAGGCGAAACCAACCGGTGTCAAAGCAAAAAAATACGCCACCAAAACCCCGCATCAAACCAGCGCATGCGACCGTCGCAGCAACTCCCACAGCCCAACTCGACGCTTTCGCCGCACACTCCAACCAGCGCCGGGGCACATCGTCGGAGGCATCGTTCAGGCCCTCCTGTGGCAAGTTGAAGGCTTTAACGTAGGCCTTGTTATAATCCCAATTTAACTGTGGAAGGACGAAATCCATTTCGCACCCCTTTGAACTCATGAGAAACCATGGTTTGTTGGTATTTACAGGGGGACCATGCCACGATTTCTTGGGTGTTGCAGGGTGCACCCACAGTATGAACCAGTTAATTTGCAGAACCACCTACTCAAATAGCAAAGGCTTTTGCGTGCCGTTGCGACCAACCCGCCAAACCCCACAAGAAAAGCCATGTCCAGAGATGATGTGTTGTGTCTGGTTTTTTTTCCCCCGAGCTCCTTCTGACACCTCTCTTAACTTCAGATCAAACAAATGTACTGTGTTCCTCTGGACAATTACGAAATCCAGCGAGTCCCTTTCTATTTGCGGAGTCTTAAGTAAGCCCCATGTCCATCAACAAAATATGTAGACTCGACTGAATGACACCTGCTCGCGCAGGCCTCGGTTTGGGCTTTGGCCCAACGGGCCGCTGCTGTGGCTTTCTTCTTCTCCGTGAAATCTGGCGGATGGCCACTTACAACATCCACCGCCAAATGGCATCAGCTGGTAGGCATTTTTTTCATAGAAGTTTGGCTAGACCACATCTTGGTCCTTCAGTGAGCAAATAGTGCCCGATGTGAATGCAACATGCAGCCGCGCCTTCTGAAAGCTTTGTCTGGTTCTGAACCTCGGTCTCTCACTCGGAACTTGCTGCCGATCGATTTGCATGCAATGCAATTCACGGAGAGTGCCCGGCATATTGAGGCAGTGCGGACTCCACGGTCTGCCTGCGTCTTTGTGCATGCGGATACTGGTCAGTCCCTCGGTTTCAAGACGCGGCACCTCAGCTCCGTGAGGCCAGCAGCGAAGTCGCCTAGGCTGCCTGCGCCAGCCTGCAAATGGCGAAAACTTGCAAAACGACATCGCCGGCTCCTGCCTTCTCCACCAGCGCTCGCCCTGCGAAATGCCAAACCACGAGTCGCCCAATTCAGAGCTCAACAGTCAACGTTACCCCCTCCAAAATGATGATTCCTTTGCGCTTCCTCACACACAAGCCACCCTCTTGAAAGGACCATTTCTGTCAACTGCCATGGCAACGTGGCTCTGAGAGTCACGCTTCAAAGGTCTGCCAGATGTTTCGCCCGCACATCGCCACCCCGAAGAAGAAAAAAAAAATCAATCAAGCCACCGGTTCCGCCCTTTTTCCCGTGCAGGTTCCCTAAGTCAAACACGTTGGTTCCTCTGGGACTGAGGTTGCGGCCCAGGCGGAAAGTCACCTGCACCGCGTTGAGGGGCGGGCAGTACCTCGAAGCCCGAAACCCGAGGACGCGGAAGCCGAACCTCGACCTTTTGACGCCCTTCGGCTCCGGCTCATGCGGCTCCGGCTCTGGAAGCTCATCCTGGGATGGGTTTCTCATAGGAACTGATGGCTTGCAACCAGCTTCTGCTATTTCTATGTCGGAGGAAATGTGAGCTTGCTTTGTTGGGGGTCTTGCCTGCAACATGTGACTTTTTTTGTGAGAGGGATGAAAAATGTTGGATTGGTTGTTGTTTGAGTTCTTGGCCACAAATTGCTAGTTTGATGTTTTGGGGTTCTTGGCTGCAAATGTGAGTCAGTTTCTGTAGGGGTCTTGGCTTCGAAATGTTACTTTTTGGGGGTCCTGGCTGCACCATGTTAGTTTGTCTTTTGTTTGGCTGCAGAAGGTGCGTGCTTTATTTATCTTTTTTTGGGGGGGGGTCTTGGCTGCAATATGTTAGCTTTTTGGACTGCAATATGGACTCTATATATATATATATATATATATATATATATATATGTGTGTCCATGGCCATCATGGCCATGGGAGAGGGGTAAGAACCTGCCAGACCTGCGCATTCTAGTCAGTCTAGGGGTGGTTTTTGGCAGGTTGAGGCTGTTTCTAGGATGGTTCGGGTTGGAGGGTTCTTTTAGCAAATGGGTTAGGGTTAAGAGGTCTTGCTCGCTCGCCTGCTGGCCGGCGTGCTTCTTTGCTTCTTACCCGTCCTTGCGTGCGTGCTTGCGGAAACATGCTCAACGTTCAACTGACCAGCTTCATGCAGCCCAGCAAATGCAAGCAATTGAAGCCATGATAGCTTCGGCACTCGGCCATACTCCGTCCATCATCATTCGGCACATGGCTATTGGATGGAACCCCCTTTTTCCCAAGCAAATGCCCACCAAAGGGTCGAAACCGATCAACACTCATCCCCACATGGGTGCTTCTCAAAACTGGCAACTCCAAGATGGTATGGTTCCTCGTCTCTTCAACAACAGCAAAGGCGGTCGAGCCCCCTTCTTTGGAGACACCCCCACAGCATGTTCGACTTCATTGACATGGAAACGTCACCGCCTTCGGTTTGGAATTCGCCGCGTGGGCGGTCCTGGTCGATCTCTTCCAAGTTGAGCTCTGCGAACGCGGCGAGGCGCGCAGTCTCGGCGGCCTGAGGCCAAAAGGCCGGGAACCAGGACCAAAATTTAAAGGTGCGTTTACCCTTTGGCGGCAACGACGGTTGAAACCAAAACGGGAATTGGTCTTTAATCGTGGGTTTGGGAAAGAGGATTTCTTTACCCGTGGTGGGGTTGGGTTGTAAGAAAAAGAGAATCAAAAGGACGTCTAGCCAGTTTGTTGGCAACCATGCTTTCACCAAGGGCTTGAATCGCCCCTTTACTGTGATTCAACCGGCCTCATCCACATATTCCAGCTGCCAGTCGGGCACCACATCCTGCACATGACACAAAAAAAAAGGCCAGCTGCCCGTGCTCGGGTGTGTGTGTTTTGTTTGAAATCGGCGGCTTTCGGACAGCCAGTGCACATAGCTCCCAAAACAAGGTCCCAAACAAGTCGTAGCCCTTCGTCTTCGAGTCCTTGGCATCTGGCAAGGTGGAGGCCCACAGAGTCAGGCCAATGAAAAGACGGCGCTTGGCCTGCAGTACGTGCCGTGGCCTGCGGAACGTGAACAGAACCCCCCCCAAAAAAAACCTGAAACAGACACATGCGAACAGCCGCGAAAAAATCGCCAAACAAGTCTCTGTGGGAAAGTATACAATGTACGTGGGATGAAACCTAAAGAGGTGGATTGCCTTGCACCCCGGAAAAAAATGGGAGAAAGCCTTTCACGAGGGTCTTTTCCAGATGTTGAAAACCAGCGAAATGCTCGTGGGGATCCCTGGCTCACTCTCGGCCCGAAGAACAACTCAGCTGCTCAGGGGCTGGCAGTGCCTTGCCTCGCCGGCAGGCACAGCTCGGGCCTCAGGACACGGACGCCGATGGAGTTTGTGCCAGCCACTGGTACAGAAGCCATCGCAACTCACACCAACTGATGCAAGTACGGGAACAAGGGAACCCTTCAGTTTGTGCTGTGGTTGTGTGGTTGAGCACGGTGGACATCGACCAAGGGAAGCAAAGCAAACCCACAGGACCTGCAAGCCGTGCCCCAGGCCAAAGATTCTGCCACACTTCCAGGTCCTTCTGACAAGTAATGATCGGAGCCACGCACTCCTGTCCAAGCACCGAAAACGCGCTTCGCACTCCGAGGAATTCGAGCTAGAAACACAAAATGATGGCCTCTTGGGTTGCACTCCAATGGGAAAACACAAATACCCACCGTATTCGGCTTACAAGACCTGTATACCTATGGGGCTATAGGTGTGGTACCATGTGAGCATAGGGCCCAGAAGCCAGAAACCTCCCATCGCCTCCTCCTCCTCTTCGCACACGCCCCCAAACTCCAGGATCCCAGCGCGGACCGCCTCGCGGCTCGCAGGGCGTCGCGAGACCCGGCATCACACCGGACGATTTTGGCGCGGCCTCGTAGGAGGTGCAGTCCATAAGGCGACCAGCAGCCTCCACAAGGGTCAAGGCAATACATATATATATATGTAAACACATACACACACACATATACATGTATATATATATATATATGTGCCTAATGAAAACTATGTGCCTAACTACTATAGGCACTATAAGTGTCAATGGCGTTTGCGCAACCGGAGTCATAGAAGCAAGCTATCATAATTTAGTCCCATATTGTTGTGAGGGACTGTCGTTCCTTAAACCATCCAACTCGTGGTTGTCTTAAAGGTTCATTCCAAAGCCGGTGACTCTCAAACCATTTGTCGGCCTCCAAGAGCTCCCCGGCCAGGTTTGCCCGCAAGCGCAAAGCCTGCAGAGGCTTCGGGATGTGAAGCTCTCTGGTGGCTTTCGGCCTCTGCTGTGCCAGGGATGGCCGCACAAAGGCGCCGGTGGATCTCCTGAGGCCCCACCCCTGCAAGGGCTAAGCGCTGCAAGGGCTCGCGACGCAGCCCGCTTTTCACTCTTCCCGGCGTCAGGCGCGCGGGGACCCGGGGCACGCGCGGGTGGCGCAAACCGAAGTAACGGACTTTGGCCGCGAATGCGGCGCCTGCAAGAGCTGTCCCCTGAGAGCTGGCCTGGTGAGACTTCCAGCAGGCCGCTCGGGTCGAAAAACTGAACCATGGCTTGAGTGAAAGCGACTGGAAGGGGACAAGCCTGCACTAAGGCGTTCGGTTCTTTGCATAACCGATATTCTACAGCCATCTCTATTGCATTCTTGCAATGTATGGCATTCCCCCAGGAATCGATCTCTAGTAGACGGATTCCTCCAAAGTGTCGTCCAAAGGCATCATGCTGTCCATGGCCTCCAAGGACTCTAACGGCGTCACCGCGAAGAGCTCGTCGCGGATCGACACGAAGTCTTCGCGCTGCAAGGCGCCCCCCTCGCGCTTGTACTTCTCCTTGGCAGGCCCCAGAACGCCAAGATAATTTTACTTGTTGGTGGTTGAATAAGAAGAAGGATATGTCCTACCAAGACTTTAAAGGGTAAGATCCAGGAATGCGACCCTCAAAGAGTGTTTTTCTGTTGGCTTCTCCTTGAGCCAAACTGAAAAGGGTACCCCCTACTCCAAATACCCCCGGTTTTTCTAGGGAGAATTCGCCAGGTTTCCAGCCAGGGGATGTCCGGGTCATCGGCCATGGAGGTGAAATGCTCCAGCAAGGCATCCTTGCAGTTGGCCCAGGCCCGGCGGTTCTCCTGACCCACAGGTCGTGAGACAGGCGTCTGATACCCAAAAGAGCACCTTACTAAGCTACCGGAGCATATCCATCATGTTTGGGTCCAGGCCACCAGAAAAACCAAAGTCTGGGCATCCCTTTCTTGGCGAGCCCCTCTAGGTCCTCCGGTAGAGAGGTTCGAACAAGTTGGTCGTCTACTTTTTTGTAGGGGAACCCTCCACCAAAAAAAGGGTAAAAGGGGCCCTACTGGGGACCTAGTTCTGGTTTCCCTGATCGTTTCAGCTTTTGGGCTCGCAAGCTCGGGTGAGCCACAGTCAACACCCGGGGGGTTAGTCCCAACTGGAAATTGGGATCGTCCAGACCATAGTTTAGCCACAATCACTCGATTGCTGTTGGGCAACGGATCTTTAGACTTTAACTTTTCGGTCATTTGCGCCAGGGTCCGGAAAAGAAAGTAACCATCTTTCTAAAAAGGGGATCCCCCCTCAATATTGTGGTTGTCCGTTTGGTTTGCCTTTGAAACACACAAAAGGGGGTTCCCTCTCTTTTCAGGACGAACCCCTTTTTCCGCCGATACAGAAAAGGACGGCCTTTTGCCACCAATGGAAAAGCAACACTTCCTCTTGTTTGTGTCCTGCTCAACCAACGAACCAAGCAACGGACTAGTAAAATGTAGGATTAGACCCCCTTTTCCCTTTCGTTTATCTCGGTCGACCGAAGATAAAACAAGCGGCCTTCACATTTCAACCAAAACCAACCGGCCGACGGACCGACCGACCGACCGACCAACCGACCAACCAACCAACCTAGCGACCAAGCGACCAAGACACCAACCAGTAGGAAACCCCTTTTAGGACAGTCTTAGAACGGAAGCCAGAAGGAAGCCGCCAACCTCAAGTACCCAACTTGGAGTCGAACTAACTTTGAGAAACGCCCAACTTGCCTGGCTGAACAAAAAACAAAAACAAGCAAACAAACAAACCAGACACAAACCAAAAACATGGGTGACGGGAGAGACGGGGGGGGGGCACGCGCATTGGCGCGCCGCCAAGCGAGGGCTTCCCCCCGCACCGCTCGGCGCTTTCTTCCCTCAGGGCCCCGAGCTCTTTGCTCCTCGATCTCCCGCTGGATCTCCTCCGGCGCGGAGGCGCAATCCTCCTCAAAGTCTTCCAGGGGCTCCATGGACGCCAGCGGCAGACGAGTCATGGGATCCAGCCAATCCGGGTGCTCGTCCTCCAGCCTCAGGAAAGCCACGTAAAATCTGGGAGGAGGGAGGGGGGGGGGGGGGTGTGGAAAAAACCTCGGAACTTGCGGAGAAAAAAAAGGACGGAGTGGAGTGTCGAGCCACAAGTATGCCTGGTTGATTTGTCTTTTGATGGACTTGTGGGCGAAGCGTTGAAGCCTTCCCCATTCAGTTTCAGCTTCGATTTTGAGAAATCGCGGATTCGATCGAACTGGACATGTCAGGCTTCGCTAAGTGCTGTCAATATTTTTTAACTTAAAAATAAAAATAAAAAATGTCGGGAATTGTTTAAAGGGAACACAGAGGGAAACCACCACGGGCCCAACTTTTGAGAAATACCCAGGTCCAACGCGGCCGAGGTTCAAATCTCCTACCAGTGCAAGCCACCAGTTCGAGATATGGGCCTTTTTTCAAGGGTACCCTTTTTGGGGTGGATTCAAAAGGAAACCAATGGGAAAAAATCCTTTTGGGAAAAATAAAACGAGGAAAAAAAACATGTCATAAACGAGTTCATCATATATAACTGTAATTCAGCGTCAGATCTAACAACTGTTCTCATATCGTAATGTATTCATCTATCATCGGAGAATAATAATAATAATAATAATAATAAAGTAACCAGGCACATGTGTCCCAAAAAGCTTGCGCATCCTCATGCAAGTAGTGCAGCCATCATAAGATGGTCTTTTGCTACGGAAGCCGTGACTCATCGTCTACTAGTATGACCATGACTGACCACCATGACTGGGTATGTGTCAAATAGAGGACCCCAAAACTGGCGCTTCCTTTTGTTTCCCTACCCAACCTTTCCAAGGGTGCCCTCAAAAAAAGCAGACCATGACTGGGACAGGGGTCCCTGTGGGTCCCGTCCCCGTTTGGGCCTAGGTGAGCTGCCCTTCATGTGAGCTTGGACAAGAACCAAATTCCACTGGGATGAAGCACAAAAACCTTCTCAAGTGCCAACAAAAAACAAACATGACTGGGATGAACCGGTCCAAACCCTTCAAAAGTGTGCTCATGTTGGTTTCCCGGTAGAAACCACATCTTCTGTGACCCCCCCCCCATTCCTTTAAAAAAAATACAACAAATGGCGCCCTCAAAAACATGCACACCCACTCGCTTCTTGCTGCCCAGTGGCATGGCTTGGAAGTTGTCCCAGTACCTTTCCGGGCCCCCAGCCTCGATGGGCGGCCTGGTGCGGGCGATTTGCCACTGCGCCTTGGCGCGGCAGTGCAGCAAGAAGGGCTTCCGGCCCTCCTGACAGAGTCGGCGGGGTCGGCTTTTTGATCATGGGTCAAAAGCCCAGTTAGCCCCCAGCGAACATCCCAATCCCCACTATAGCCTAAAATGGGTGGTGTACCTACCCCAAAATGGTACCATTGGTTTTGAACCACAACCACCTGTTCAAGGTACCCAGTGCTTCCAGTTGCCACTACTGTGGATGGTTGCGAAATCCATTTCGCACCACCTAAGAGACCCTGGAATGATCATTCCCCTGTAAATACCAGCAAATAATGGTTTCCCATGGTATCAAAGTGGTGCGAAATGGATTTTGTCCATCCGCAGTATGGTAGGTAAGCGGGTATGGCTACCTCTAAATTCTACATCATGGGTTGCCCTAGTTACCTACTACAGTGATAACGGGAAGCACTGGAATAGTTTTAAGGGAAACCAAAAGGAAAGCCACAATTGTTGGGTGTATTATTGTGAGACAGACCCAAATGGAGAACCAGAAAGGAAAGGAATAAGGAAAGGAAGGAAGGAAGGAAGGAAGGAAGGAAGGAAGGAAGGAAGGCAAGAAGGAAGGAAGGAAGGCAAGAAGGAAATGGAAGAGAAAGAAAGGAGAAGAAAGAAAAAGGAGGACACGGATTCGGAAAACTGGGAAACTGGCTAGGCTACCAGTAACCCTTAACAAAACGCTTCGTGGCAGTCGGTACAAGCTTCTCGCGCGTTTCAGTCCTGCTTCTGCCAGCCGTTGAAAGCTGGATACACCTTAGTCGTTGATCCCCATTGCATTTTTGGTGGGATCCAAAAAAGTCAAAAAGGGCTCAAAAGTCCAGCAGTCGCAAAAAGACCACTGTAAAAGTCCAACAGTCTAAAACTCCAAAACTCGAAAACTCCAAAACTCGAAAACTCCAAAACTCGAAAACTCCAAAAGTATGGTTGCCTTGGTGGGGCATGGTTCCCATTGTTCATTTTGGGATAAGAAATGCTGTGAACAAGCTCATATCAAAAACCCAATCTCCAGGTCCAAACCAATCCAACCCACCAATCAGAGGCTGATAATACCTGGCCTCATGGGAGTTGCTCACTCTCTTTAAGGCCCAAATCTTCAAATCCCACCATGCCCGTACAGATCTCCTGGTAGCTCCTTGGCTCCTTCTTTGAAGGCGCAATTGGATACTCCTAGCCTGGCTCCCTTCCAACCAGCCAGACTCCCACTCCAAAAATCATCCCAATCCAAGCCAACTACAGACTACTGACCTGAACTCAGACTCTCTCACACACACAAAACAAAACAAAAACAAAAAAAGAGAAACCGCCAAGAGGGGTGGTTCAATCCCCAATCTCCAACTTCCGGACCCACGCCACCTGATCCGCTCCCCGCTCCGAGTTCGCCTCGAGCGCCCTCGACCCCTCGAGCCCTCGACCCCGCGCCGAGCCGCGTGGCGCCGGCACTCGTGGGGCCTCTCCGGCCAGTGGCTCTCGGACTCCAAGTTGCACTTGGTGCCGCAGCCCGGGCACCGCGCGGGGCAGCCCGAGATGCACCTCGCGGATTTCTCGGCTGACTTTTGGGGGGGGCTTTTGGGTGGGCGCTTGGTGAGTCTTGCAAGGTCTTTGTCAGGTTTGGTGCGGTGTTGCTGCAAGCTGTGCCTACCAAGCTCGTGGCCCCCAAAAGAAGCCTGTGCTTGTTGGAGGTAGGCTGACCCTCCAATGCCGAAAATTGGCTTTCCGTTGAAACTCGTCGAAGCAGCGTCCAAAAAGGTCAGCTTCCCCCCAATTGGTAATCTCCATTAAGCAAAACAAAACAAAAGGTCGAGATATTCAAGATGTTGCTGTTTAAAACTGGAATTTGCTGAAAGCTCCGTAATGAGAACCAGCAAGAAAGGAACCACAAGTCCGCAAATTCCAGAATAGGTTCAAAACCTGAAATCTGAATTGTATCCCCAAGTGAACCTACATCATAGGTGTTCACTCGGTTGATCCACAGGCGAGCTTACCGTGCTGGCCCAAACAGATCCGAGCCCCTACAAAACGGCAATCTTTGCTGGTTGAAGGGAAAGGGGCAACAAAACTAGGGTGGGACTTGCCCCACTTCTTTGCGAGGCCTCCCAATGACTTGTTTCTGTCAGAAACCCCAGCAGTCATGTATTCCCACCCTGGTTCAAATCGGCAAGCGCCTTGGTCTGGCAATGACAATAATTACCGTTTTTGGAAGCCTTTCTCTGGCAGTTTCATCTGAATGAAACCACCACCAAATCTGCAAACATAGTACAACACTTCTGACTTCGGGGATTTCCCCACCAAGAAGCACGGTGTATCATGGCCCGAGGGGCTTCCAGAAGTCCGACTTCTGGCGCGTCAGCTCGCTCTCCATACGCCGCTCCACCGAGATCTCGGTCTCCCGCATGTTGGAGCGGTACCTGGAACCCAAGGCCTTGCTGGTGTTGGATTCCAGCAAAACTTGTATCCAAATGGGAAGCTCAAAGGACAACTACGCACCATTCCGTGGCTCCAGAATCCAACGGTGTCTCGAATTTCTCTCTTGCGCTCTACAAAGAAGGCGGGTCTCTCTGTGTTGAGGTATATATGTTTGTCGTAAACAAAAAAGCCAACAGGCTTAAACCCGTGGGGGGACAAACTCCTAAAAAAATGCGCCACCCACGCGGTTCCGAAAGCCGGCGTCCTCTTCAGCTCCAAGGAGGCGAAGCGCAGGAACTGCCCGAAGTTCTTCAGAGCCCAGTCCGCCTGGCGAAGCGAGGGAGCGATTGGCCGCTTTGCAACACGCAGGAGAACGAAGTAAGATCCACCGAGAGAGGTGCTTTTAACCACCGAAGAAATGGAGGTTTATGATCCAAGCCAAGGGGAAGCAAGCAAGGGAAGTCTATTTCTGCAAAACCACCGAAGAAATGGAGGATGATCCAAACTAGGGGGAAGCAAGCAAGGGAAGTCTATTTCTTGCCCCCCTTTCACTCAGCCGATCTGGCCAACGAGCCACTTCTCCTCACCAGAATGCGGGAACTGCGACATGCAACCATACGTCAATATCACAGACACGAGCACGGAGGCCTGCCTCGCTCTGAAAGGTTGGCAAAGAGGAGCACAGCACGGATGCAAGGGAGTCGTCTGCCAGCTCAGCGCAAACTTCTTTGAGCACCTGCGAAGAGGACATGGAAATTGTCGTCAGTTGTTTGGTCCTGAGTTCCCCGCGCTTCCCGAACCCCAAATGACAGAAGAATCCGGAAGTGTCGCCGAAACCTCACCTGAGAGAGCTTGTTCATGGTGAGGTCTGAGATGCCCTCCAGAGATCGGCTCTCCAATAGGTCTTGCATGTGTTCCTCAGCCACGCGCAAGCAGTTCCCGAAGTTGTTCTTCAACTCCTGGCAGTACTTGTCCACCAGGCCCTGCTTAAAGGACTCCCACTCCTTTCAGGGTCCATGTCTTTGCTTCGCCAAGTTTCTTTTGTTGGTTTGAAATCGACGTCTTGCCAATAGTTGACCCAACATGTGAATTTTTCAAAACCCGCAAGAAGCGGGACATACCAACATGATTCCCATACCCTGATCCAACAAATCCCAAGAATGGCAAGAACACGGTGTTCGTAGGGACCAAGGATGCCCCCAGTTGCCGAATCTTTCTTCGTCTGACTCCTTGTGGAACTCCATGAACAAGTACCTCGGCCCAGTGGATGCCCGGGCAACCTTTGTTCCTGGAACCCCTTCCCCAAAGCGAGGAATGGCCTTGAATGGAACCCCCCCCCCCCCCCGAACAAAAAGTGGGGGGCGGGGGGGCGGAGGGGACATGCTTTTGAAGGGAGACCCTTCCCAAAAAATGTCGCGTTAAAAGCAATCCGTCTGGAACAAAGAAGAACAACTTGTCCTATTCTGGAGAGACCCATCTCCAAAAAGATATCCGAAAGAAAATCATCCCACTGAGGGGGGAGAAAAAAAACGAGACTAGTTAAAGGGAATCCGTCATCTCACAACATGTCTTTAAGGGGAAACCCTTTCCCAAGAAAGAACGTGATCTTGAAGGGAAAGCCTCCAACAAAAATGTGCCCTCAAAGGAGAACCAGACCAAAAAAGAGAAACATGTTTGTTCCCAAAAAGAGCAAGTGCCTTCAAAGGGAAACCCTTCCCAAAAACAATATGAATTTAAACGGACGCCCTTCCCCCAAAGAGGAACATGATCTTGCAGGGAAACTCGCCCCAATAGGAAGAAACACATGGGTGTTCCTAAAGTGGACAACTGATCTTACAAGGGAAACTCACCCCCAAAAAAGGCCGAAAAAACATATGTCGTCCAAAAGCAAAATGGTTTTAAAAGGGAAACATTTCCGGAACAACATCAATTTGAAGAGAAGCACTTCCCCACACAAAGACTTCCAGGCTGGGTCCCCCGCTGCGTGGGGTCGATGGCGTACATCACAACGTGGCGCCAGTTCCTGCGCGTGAAGGAGCGCTCGATCGCCTGCTCACAGGCGTTCCCCGGGTTGGTCAGGATCTTGGACATGTGGGACACCACCTCCTGAAATGTCAAAAGCCAAACTGCCGGGATGTGGGCAAACAAAAACCGACAGTTCTTTGATGCAGCCACCTACCAAAATGAACGGAGCCAAAAATACCTAAAAACCTAAAACATGCCAACAACAGTGAAGGGGACCAAAGCAGATATTGCCCAAGACCTGTTCTTGTGTGCCTTTTCCGTGGGGAAACCCAAGAAGCGTTTGGGGTACGCCATTTGCGATATGGACGTGTCTCTAAGAATGGAGGAATCCCAAAAAGGGCTCCCTCGGAGAATTGCAAGCAGCAAAGACCCAACGCGCGTTCTTTCCCGGGATACCGAATTCTTGGGGTTGATCAAAGGGGAAACCTGGCATTGATGTGTCTTTTTCTTGGGGCCAACCCTAGGTGGGTTGAAAGGCGAAACCCAAAAAAATACCACCCGTTGTCGCCTACTCAGGGTTGGGATGTGGGCCTCTGATTTTTGTTCAGAAAGGGGGGTCCCCTCTATGTTTTAGACACACCGATTCATATGGGGCATTCGAGCTGCGGGAAAACACACCCAGAGAGCTCTTTCTACCAACATGGTAATCAAGGGTTTTATGTGTGTGTGCGTGCGTTTTATTTTTTGAGGCTCGATGCCCGTTTTTTGGTGGTTTCAATTGGACACCAGAAGGGAACCTCTTTTTTTTTGGGGGGGGGGGCTCGACAATGGCACACCCTCATAGGCCTTGCCAATGCGATAATCTGTTGCGAAACCAGGAAATGGAACCAGCATTTAGGACAAGAAAGAAAAACGAGCAGCATGGTCCCTTCTTTCCAATAATATGTTCTTTCACACAAATTGTTCGAGCAGTCCCAAAGGCCTTCTTTTCAGGAAATTGCAAGAAGACAAATGGAAAGTCAAACCCCGCGAAAATTACCCCAGAACTCCGACGTTGACTCTTGGAGTCTGCTTCCACCATAAGTCTCGTGAGGAAACCGCACAAAACGGGGCTGGGTGGCGTTCCCTCCCAAATCTTGTCTGCGTTGCCCCGACCAAAACAAATGCGCGGCGCGGCTTCTGCTTGCTGGCTTCCTTCTGACCCACGAACCACCCCAAAAAAGAAGAGGAAAAAAACACAATGCAAACAAATAACCTGGGCTTGCCATTTCCGAATCCCCCCGTCTCATAGCTCATGGATCTTCTGTTTTTCCTCACCTCTGAATGAACTTCGCCTTGAGCCCGGCAGATCCTCATAGCTTGGGAATCCTTTGCTTTTCTTCACCTTTTCTGAATGAACTCTCCTTGACCCCGGCAGAGATCCTCCACTAAAACCCCCCCTCTTCCTCCCTCCCCTCCATGCGCCCCGGACCCCTCCGACCCCTTCCCCTCCTGCGCCATGCGCCCCACGGCGTTGCGGAAGTGCTGGTCCAGGGTGTCCACGAAGCTCTTGGCCCAGACCTTCGCGCAGTGCACCTCCCGCTTGCCGCTGTCCACCCGGGCCTGGGGAAAAATTTCGGCGCCAGGAATCCAGTGGGGGGAGGGAAGAGGGGGGGAAGGGGGGAAGGGGGGGGGGGGAGAATCCGGCAAATGCAGAAAAACCCAGAAAAACCAGAAAAACCAGAAAAACCCAGAAAAACAGCAAACCCCGAAAAATCGCGGACATTTTGGTCTTGGCCCCCACTTTGGGCAGAGCCCTACGCTTCCCAAGCCCAAAACGCCGAACAAGAAGCAGAGGAGCAATTCTAGATGCATTTCATTCCAGTTGCTGTTTTTAAAGGGGAAAAATGAGGGGAATTCCCCCACACAAGGGTTCGAAGCGCGACTCTCGCCTGGATCTCCCAAAGCTTCTGCTGCTTCCTGGGCTGCTTCGTTTTTATCTCACAGACCGAGACAAAGGGGACTGAACACCCTGCAGCTGTCCCTTGTTTCAGACACTTTATACCCCAAAACAGTCACAGGGGCTGGGAAAAGGACAAGGAACTGGCGATGGCACTTTTCTGGCTTGTTCTCAGGGAATCGATTTCGGGGTCTCGGGAAAGCGGAAGCGGACCACCCAAAAACTATTATTCCCTGAGAGCCAGCAATAGGACACGAAAAAGGCTCAAAGGTTCAAACCCTCTTTGTTTGTGATTTAAAAGGAAAACCCACCTTCTGCTTTTGCTTTGGGGGGGGGATCCCCCCAAAAAAAGGACACACCCAAAATGTGAGGCTTTCTGGCCATGCTTCTTGCTCAAAATCTCGTTCACGCGGCTTTGAAAGTTCTGCTGCTCGATCTGGAAGCGGTAGTGGATGGTGGCCTCGCGCTGCTTTTCTCGGACCTTTTGTTGCGTTCCAACGGAAAACTGCTGGCTGTTGCGGGCCCCGGCTTTTTTGGCCAGCCAAAAAGCTTGTATTTCTTCTTGTTGGGGGGCTTGAAGATTGAAGCTAGTTTTGGGGGGTAAAACTGGCAGTCCTGTGGGCCCCCTTAACCACAAGAGGTCCCCGACTTTGAGCCATTGGTTTTGGTCCGCACCCCAAAAAGAGGCGGATCTGCTTGTGCTGCCAAAAAAGAGGGCGATCCCATTTTGAGAAGCCAAAGGCAAACACCTGCTGACTTTTCACAACCCCGACCCCACTCCGAGCTGAGCCCCTGGTTTCTGCAGTGGCGGGTGCCGAATGTCAGGATATAGGTCCACTCCGAATGGCGGGTCCCAAGAACTAATATGGAACCTGAAATCAAACCCCTGCACTCGGAGCTCTGCGCAACCCCAAGCTTTCACAACCACCTTCATTTACTCCATGTGGGGTCTGAAAATGGCGTGCTTTGAAACATCTCTTGACACCACCCAAAAATTGGTTCCCTTCCCCCTCCCACCCCCAAACAAAGAAAGGCCTTCCCCCCCAAAAAAAAATAAAAGACCCAACCAACGCTTGCTCCGGCCTTGGCCACCTCGTAGACCAGCTTCTGCACGAAGGGCGAGCCCAGCCTCCATTCCGGAAGCATAGGTCTTTTTTGGGCTTGAGATGCTTGATTCACGAGCTTCTCCCAAAAACCAGGTTCCATTTTTTGTGGTGGACAAAAACACAGGTGGACCCAGAAAACCCAAAACCAGGTGGACCCAAAAACCCAATAAAGCTTCTCGCAACAACCAGGTGGACCCAAAACGGGTCTTTTGTGTGGGTTCCCTTTGCAGCCACTCCAAAAGACAACTCGAAAAATAGTTCCCGAAAGGAGCGCAGGTGTTCAACCACTTTGCCTTTTGCAAGAGGAGCGGCCCAAAGGAGACGCTACATGCGAGGAAGTTCCGGGCTCCATGTTCATGGACCTCCAAGAGCTCGCGACCACTTCGCGAAATCCGGGCAGACCCCGCGTTTGGTCTACAGTCATCATGTTTATAGACCCACAACGGGGTACGGATTAAAGCGTTCCAAAATATCGGAAACCACCCCCCATTTGGGCGGTCAAACCAAAATGTGACTTTCCCCTGCGTTTCAGGTTCTTTATTTCATGGTTTGGGAGGTTGTCTTGACAAAGCCACAATATTTTTCAGGATGTAGAGAAGTTAACCATGCGAACCCTATCTAAAACATCCGTAAGGAGCACGCCCTTTTGCTTTTTGCCTCAAGAGACAGGGAGAAAGCAAGCAATCTGCAACCCTCCAAACCCTTGTCAAAATAGGAGGCCCCTAACATCTTGCAGGTTTCCTGTTGTTTTCCCTTTTTAAGGCACCCAGAAGGTCCCCCCCCCCTAGGACTCTACCCAACACCCCCCCCCTCTGAGAAGCGGACCTGTGCAGCAGCTGCCGCAGCTGGTCCGCCGCCTCCATCTCGGAGTTCAGGCGGTTCAAGATCTTCAGGGCCGCGGCGTCGGACATCTGGCCCTGCTGGTCCACCTGACAAAATCACTCGCTCGGGCCGAAGAAATTTTGGGCTGCATGGTAGAAGGGTCTGTACCACGGCGTGCCTGCAATGCAGCGGAGAGCAAAACTGCCGAGACGAAAAATTCTGGGCTGACTGTTGGGTGATTGTAAAGGTTTGCACAAGCCTTATAATCCCTGTGAAACCAGTCGGCTCCCAGCCTGGGCTGACTCTTGATATCCCACTTGGTCAACAGTGCGATTTCCAACCCAAAAGGGCGGAAACCCGGTCAAGCAAAAGGCCTCAGCCCATTCTATTTGAGGAACCTCAAAAAAGCAAGGAGCACACTCCTCTCGCCTCCAAACGCATGGTATCTACCAGCTTGATCCAGAGGTTGTCCACGTGAGAGGCCCCCGAGGCTCCAGTCGGCATCACCGGCACCAGCGCGGCGCCGATGCCCTTCTTTGCCAGCAGAAAGGAGGACATCGCCTTCGATCCGACTCGAAAAGAAGCCAAAAAGGGAAATTCGACACTCGAAACTCACTTTGGTTTTTGGCGGGAATTTGAATGCCGAAGGAAAGCTGAACAGAAACCCAAGACCCTTGCCAGTGATTCCATGGTCCTGAGCAACCAAGGGGCGCTTTTGGCTCTGTCTTTCTTTGGGGTTTCCCTTGTTGCGGGGTTTAAAGGGAAACAACAAGGAGTGCCAAAAACCGACACACCCCTTCGAAACCAACAGGAGAGGAAAATGGCGGGTTCCCCACAACTGCGATCTGGGTTCACTTGACGTTGGCACAGTGGATGGACAAAATTTCCCTTCGCACCGGTTGGTGGCTTATCCCAGCCCCCTCAAATTCGGGATTTTGGACCCGGTGCCCCTCCATCGGCTGGGTTTGGAACTCGATTACAGGGCGGGTGGCCAGGTGTTGCGGGGAGGGGGGCATGTCCATTCTCACCTGCCGCCGCCGAGGCATGCAAACGTGCATGCAATGGAGGGATGTGCATAACAAGAGCCCGGTTCAAATCGGCGGAGGGTTGGGCCAGGGGGGTGTACAAAAGTGCCTCATGGGTTCAATGGCGAGCTCCTGAGTTTTGAGAAGTGCGTCTGAGTTGGTTATCAACTGCAGCAAATTGCCTGTTGGCCAAAAGCGGTCTCTGTTTGCAGGTAATCTGAGAGTCAGGGGCGGCAAAGCCGACCGCTACCCATGTAGCACCACCGCCCAAAATACTGTTGGACGAAATCCATTTCACACCTAACAACACCTTAGAATGAGGTTCGATGGTTCGGTTCCGCTCTGCGAAATGGACTCCACCATACCAGAACCCACGGTCGCCGTTGGAGACCCGTCGACGCGCCAAAAACCGCTGCCTCGGACATCTCCCGCACGTCGGAGGTCAAGGTCTTCACCCCGTGGAAGATGTGGGCCTGAAGCGATGTTGCAACACCCGTGGCATGAGGTGAAGCCATTGTAGGGTTCCAAAAAAGACGAGCCACCCACCTTTCCGCAGAAGAAAAAGATTCTAAAAAAAAGAAGAAGCTGCGACGGCCTTCCCAAACCCCTTTGGAGGAAAAACGTGAAAAAGCAGGCTTTGGGTTCCCTTGGGGACCAAATCCAAGGGCTGTGAATCAGTGAAGTCGACCTGATAACTTTCACCTTTCCCCAGATTGGCAGTTTGTCATCCGTCGACACCACCAAGGGCCCAGCGATTCCCAATTTTCGTGGGGAATAAGACTGAGAGGGAACCGGCTGACTACCACAAAGGATTTCTGGGATTTTTTGGATCCGGTGGTATATCGCCCCCTGAATCCGGACTTTATACAAGGGCAAAACGCCTCATATCTGAAAAGCATACCTGAAAACTCCCTCCTAATGAAAAACACAAAACCCTGAATCCTATGTTCCCCCCAGGTTTTTTTTCGTTGGTTCCCCTTTCCCTTCAAATGCAACCCAAAAAATAACGGGGTCCTTTGGGCGCGAAACAAAACCCGAGCCACCCGCGGATCGCACGGCTGCCTTCCGGAACTGAGACTTGAGGTTCAGCAAGGCCGCGTTGAAGTGGGACACCACCTGACGAGACGCCGTAGGCGCTGCCGCGTCTGGATGTCCCACCGGTCTCACGGATCTGGCGGCGTTCTTCTTTTTCAGGAGGGGCAAAAGGGAGCCATGGCGGAAAGCGTCCTCCGAAAAGTGAGCTGGTTGGGAAAAGGGAGACAGGCGGCGGTTTCTTGGCTCATTCTGTCCACAAAACTCTGTGAAACAAAACCTCCCTGGGTCTCTTTGATCTGGACATGCATCGATTTATCCGAAAGAAACAACTCTTGGGAGCATAGAGCTCAATACCTCCATTCATACCCCCCGTTTGTGGTTGAGCACGAAAAGCTGAAACCGATCCACTGTTCCACCTGGGAAACGATTGCTCCAACATCTTCCAGTCAAAGAAGCAATCCTCAAAATGGTCTTCTTCGTTTGATAGCCCCCCAAAAAAGGGCCGTTTGTTCCAACAGCACCGAAACGAATCCCTTTCAAAGGGACCCGGTTCCATCCCCAAAACGGAGCCCTCGGGCGGGTCCATTCCCGTCGCCTCCTGGGTGACTTTGTCCAGATTGGGCTTCTGCTTGCGCAGGGCCTCTGCCATGACCTCAAAAATGGCAAGCCAGGTGTCACAAGTTTACATGGGGGCTGGGGGCGAGGGAGGGGAGGGGGGAGCCAAAAAAGACTGTCCTAAGCGCTAATTAAGGCCTTAGTTAGGGCTTATTTGGGCTCCCTCCCCTCCACTAAAGGGCCTTACGATCCCCCGATCGGTAAATACAGAGGCCACAAATTACAATAAGGTAGAAATGGAACGGCCTACCAAAATTCGAATATGTTCCAGGATTGCGGCGCTGGAAAACAGCTTTGGGGCAAAAACTGTGCACTTTTCCATCTACTGTGTGTCTATATATGCCAGAATACAAGTTATCATTGTCCGGCTTTGCAAACGGGCGTACTCTTCAACCCTAGACCACCTTCAGGTAGGAACCGGAACCGGAATTGAGATACGACCTCCTTTTAGCTCCCGTTGAAAGTGGGCCAGGATCTGGTTGTGTAAGTCTTGCCTGACCCTGCCGAACTCCCGGCTGAGATGGGCTGGTTCGGAATGGCTAAGATGGCTTCCACTGAGTCACCACCCCTTTACCTATATATATATATATATATATATATGAGTTGAACTTGGGAGTGTATACATATATATATATATGTGTATGTATATATATATATGTATATATATATATGTATATATATATATACACATACATATATATATATACATACATATACATATATATATATATATATGCTTATATATATATGCTTTTACATGCATATACTTTGAATCGTACCCCTACGGGCGATTTGGGAGTGGACACCATCAAGAATGCTTGTTTTGTGATGACTCGTTGGACCCGCTCGCCTGGCTCCACTTCTCCTCAAAGACCCGCTCCACGTTCTGCACGTTGATGTGGGACCCCTGCTCCAGTAGCAGGTCGTTCACCCGCGCCGAGATCTCCTCGGAAGAAATATTGCTTGGCTTGCCGTCTTTCAGCATGGATATGTCTCAAAATAGGGGGACCCCGCAACTGGTGGTTTGAATTCTAGGATCCAACCTTGAAAAGGAACCCCTTAAAAGCGCCCAAAGCTTTTCTCAGAATTCCTTGAAGGATGCATCACTTGAATAGGAGTCCAACCGCGGTTTAACTGGGTGGGAGTCTATGACAAACCCTGGCGATTTGTGCCTCGAAGAAGAGCAATTTTGAGAACCCCTCAGAATGCAAGCACTTTAGGGCGGCATGTTTTCTCAACCCATTTCGGCATGCATCCAAATAGGAGGCCGAAATGGGCTTTGGCTATTGTCAAAATGCCTGCCCTCTTTTTTTGGGCCCAGGAGAAACCCTGGTGGGTGACGGAAGACACACACTGCCACATTGCGCCATTTCGGTGTGCCTTAAATGTGGGTCCTGAAAAAAATGGTTGGTTCCCTTTTAGTTTGCACTTGCAATACAACAACCCCGAAACGGGTAGGGAGCCTCAGAAAATGAGACACGCACGACACACACACACACACACTTGATGGGAGATACAGCAAGCACTGGAGGCACCCCAACTCTGCAAACCGAAAGAACGAAGAGGCCACCCAGAAGGAGTTTCGGCTCCCAGCAAGTCAGGACATTGTTCGTCAAGCAGGCTCCTCTTGACTACTACACGCCTGATCATGCAGGGAGGTGGCGTCCGACTCCAAGGGTTGACAAAAGAAGGAAGGAAGAAAAAAGCGACGGACCCCTTAGGAACAGGGGCACACACACACATTCATTAAAAAACCAGCCGTGCAAAGGTTTGCCATTTCTCCTCGAACAAATGGTCCATGGAGTTCTGCTCCAGCACCAAATGCACCGCGCTGCGCCACAAACTGTCCACTGAGGCGTACTTCCGTCGCATGGGGCCCATCAAGGAGAAGCGCTTGTCGCTCTTCACCTGAAGCCGGTCGCTTTTTTGGTGGGGTCCCGGTTGGTGTCCAACGACAGAAGCCAACTTTCACGAATAGCGAACTAAAACTCAACCAAAGCCAAGTAAATAACCAACGCTTGTGAGTTACAATCAGCTAGCATACCCAACCAATAGGTACAAGTTTGGACAATGTCAAGCAGAAAATAGGTGGGCAACAATTGGAGTTCCACGTGCTAACTGATTGTTACCCATCGGAGAAAAAGAAAGGAGTGGGTGTGTCTTCTTTTGAGGGTGTCCTTCTTTTGTGGCTTCAAAGGGAAGCAAAAAGTGTTGCGGCTCCCCAACATCATGACACGCCCAAGTGGTGCTCCCGAGGATGGTTCAGTTTCGGGCCACACCCTCATTCCCCACTGAGAACCAGCAAGTGGCTTTCCAAACAAGAACCAACCCAAAACAAGGGGTGTGTCTATTTTAGGACTTGTTCAGAGAACCTGAAATTCGGAAAAAGCGCCTTTCAATTCAGACCTCCAAAAGTGACTATAAATCCTTGAAACTCACCAACTATCATCTTGGGGGGGACAAATGTGCTTTGTCTTGGAGGTATGCCGGTCACAAAAACGGTCACAAAAGGACCCTGGTCAGGAAAGGGTTGCCCTTAGAGGGTATGGGTGAGTCCTTTGTTGCGGAACCTGAGTTTGTTTGCTTTTTCAAACGCAGGCAAGAGAACGCCTTTGCTATTTGGGCCAGTCGAATAACTTTGAGCCAGACCCAACACAATTAAAGTGAACAAGCCAAGTGCAAAATCCGAGTTTCCCCTGAATTTGCCAAGTTTTTAGTGTGCGAGGAAGACTACCAGAACAAGCTAGGTATCCAAAATGGGAAGTCCCAACAATGGAAGGTCTTTCATGCGGTTATCCTTGAACCAACCCACATGGGAGTACCCTCAACACCCCCAAATCGGGGACCCTCAAAATGGGTCGGTGTCCCCTTGTTTTCCCCTTGCTTTGCAACCCTCAAAAGCTGGACGCCAAGACCCTCTTTTCAGTTGAAACCCCAACCAACAACGAGCGCAAATCAACTCGCCTGCTCGTCCGTGAATTTGCTGTCGTGCGCCCGCACGAACTCGTCGAAGTCGTGCTGCATCTCTTGGACCACCGCGTCCCGCAAAGCGTCCAGCTGGCCTTCAAGTCAAGGGCCACTTGAGTCGATGGCTTCCACCCACAAACCACTACCCCAAGGCAAATGTTGGATACACCCTCGAGTGGCTATATAGCGATTGCAAAACCCATTGGACCCCTGTGGCACAGTGGTTTGGGGCTGGAATCCGCTTAGATTGATCAGTTCTCCGGAGTCATCTTATGCGACTTATTCTATTGTTCCTAATCATTCCTCATCCTAATGGTCCTAATCTATTGGGACAGTTAGGACACTTGGGCCCCCACATGTTCCCATTTTTTCTCATTAGTTGAGATATTTAGGATGAATAAGTAATGATAACTAGAATAACTAGAAAAGAAAATGCTTTCCATGTCCATTCCAGTTCTTTCACAAGGGCCCGCGCCACATAGGACTCACACTCGGGGCCCCTGAACTCAGGGCCGGACCCCCAAAAGGGGAATTAAGCCCATTCCCATTGTGGAGTAGTAATTACATGACCCACCTCTGGGTTCAGGTTGCCCAAATACAGTTGCTTTACAAGTCTCTCATGTTGCTTTGGTCGCCACGATGCCCTACCCCAAAAATGGGAATTGTGACATCTACCTTCAGCCTGGATTAATCAGGGTCACTGGATTTCCCCAAATCAAAACTTGATCCATGTACTTTCGGTTCCATTGAACCGATCGCCACTGTTGGCTCCAAAAAAAATGAAACGGAGGAAGCCCTGGTTCAATGGAACCCCTCCCAACCCCCGCATGGAACCCTCCCAACCCCCTCCCCGCCCATGGAACCCTCCCGCCGCCCCTGCAATGTTCTGTCCTCTGAAGGCGTTGTCCGTGGCGTGCACCTCGCTGCTCACGTTCGCCGAGCGCAGCTCTTTGGTGTAGCGCTGGATCAGGTGCTCGCTCTCCAGGTGCCTCGGTGGAAGCAGCGGAGCAGCGCTCGGGGAGAACATCCATTTGCAGGGGGGGGGGGGGGTTGGAGGGGAAACCCCTTCTGGTTGGTCTTTGGTAGGAAACCAAATGAAACCAAATATTTTGGAGGTGCCCTCATTTTGAGAAACCAATTTCTTGCTTTCACTTGATGGGCAAACATCCGTTTCGGGATCTCAGCAAAACAAACCAATGGGGAACGTTCGTTGAAAAGCTTACGCTTTTGGTTGTGAAGGAGGAGACATCCATCTGTGGTCAATGTGTCTTAAGGCTTGCCGTGGTCCCGTGGGAATATTATGCCAATTTGGGGAGGATGATTTTCTTGAAAGCTCCTCTTTTGGGGGTTAAGACCTCCAGTTGGGTTCTTTGAGGCATACCACCGCTATGGGAAACATCCACCCCATTGAACTTGTAAAGCCGAAACAAAGGAAAGCCACCAGGCGACCCAAAGAGGCACCCTCTTGCAGCACGAAGTGCACCAGAGGGAGCCCATCTGAGTATGTCTCAAGTAGGGATTTGGACTCTCAAAATGGCGTGGTCAGAGTGTCAACTCAAAGACTCCAAACCACGACAGAAGCTAATCCGCGCTCCTTTTTTCTTCCCGCCATGAGAATCTTGGCACATCAAAAGGTGCGTTTTGGAGGTCCTTTCTGATTCTTTGGCTCGGAACAAGTTAAAGGAAGATCCAAGCCAATAGCATTCAAGCAGCTTAGGCTACCAAAACCAAGACTTTGCACTCCAAAGATCCAAAAACCACCAGCCCCACCAAAACGTCCAAAGTCCCCAGCGCCGTACCCTTCGGCTCCCCGTTCTCCGAGTCGCATCTTGCCGTCCACGTGCTTCTGCACCAAGGCGTCGCAGAACTCCTGGAGCTGCTGCGCCATGAGCACCTGGACAGATCCATCCCCCGAAGCAGAAGTTGCACCGCGCCCCCAAAAAGACACGGGTCGAGGTCCGAGCCTTAAAAACTAGGCTGGAATTGGGACCCCAGCAACAACAAAAACTGTTTTGTGGTTTGCGGAAAACAGAGGGACCCCAAAAAAGCGAAAAGGGGAGCTAATTCTGGGGAAGAAAAGGATGGTCCATGTCCCGAGCCCACAAAAGGATGGGTCCACGCAACAAAAGGTGGTCCTACAAAAAAGAGGGTCCCATGTCCCAAGAGGATGGGTCCGAGCCAAGTGGTGGGTGGGGGGTTCCTGTCTCAAGGGCTTCATGTCCCAAAAGGTTCCGATCCTAAAACGTGGAGGTTCCATACTGCAATACCTTTGCGATGTGAAGGGTCCAAAGGCACAAACGCCAACACACACGGATGCGTTTCGATATCCTGATATCCTGAAAGAGCCAAAAAAAGAGGAAGAGCTTCGGGGTGGGAGGGCGGGGGGTGAAAAGAACGATGGGCGAACAGAATGGGAGTCCGCTCCCGATTCCGGATGAAGGCGAACTGAGTGGATTTTAGGTTCGATTTGTCCAAGCAAAACTTGTCAATCGCCAAACCAATGTAAAGAAAGCAACTCGTGGACAATTGCCTAATTCTGATGGGATGTTCCCCGATTTTAACTTCTGCAGGATCCCTATATGCCCAATCCATAAAAACATCTCCCAAAAGAGAGCTCACTTTGAATTGCCCTTTCAAAGGTGATGTGTCAAACTACCCTTGAAATCCTTGCTTGAAAGGAAACCTTTAAATGTCCAATCCAAACCACCATGTGGCAATGCATTTTAATGAGGAATACCCTTTCAAAGCGTCGGTTGGGCATCAATCCCAACACAAATTTATCTGCACCAGAGTGTCCCGCAGTCTGGAAAAAACAACAAAACGCGCGGCTTCCTCTCTATTCTCCATCTGGCCATGGGTCAAAAGCCCGTACCCCCAGTGAACATCCCAATCCCCACCAAAATAGACGAAGATGGGTGGTGAATTCACCTACCCCAAAATGGGATCCCATTGGTTTTGACCCACAGCCATCTAAAAAACCGGACAGACCCACAATGCAGGGAAGAAGCAAAATATTAAAAAAAAGCCCGACCTGGCGCATGGTGCGGAACTGCAGCAAGTCGGTGCCACACCTTAAGCTTGAAAGCGCCGGGTGCGGCACACGTGGGATGACCCTTCGTGCGTGGAAACCGCCAAAGCTGAACGAAAGGTCCGAAAAACGTGGGATGAGGATATGTCAACCACGTGGTTGAAAAGCTAGCCATGGTCATTTTGGGGCCGAACGGAATATTGATCAACCCCCAGATGTCCCATAATTCCAACTCGAAACACTAAGCAACTAAATAAACTAAACATCTAAGAGTCTAAAGGCATGATTTATGTGGGATATGTCATAAATCCAACTCTAGACTCGAAACATTTAAACAGCTTGGGGGTATCATAGGGTCGGCATAGACAAGTCGTGGGAAGTCATTGGTTTTTTAGCAACCAGCTACAAGAAACTCTGCAGTTGAACTTGGATGTCCAAAACCTCACCAGAAACAACACTCCATGTCAACTGCGGGGGAATTTCCTTCGCCGATTTCTTAGGCGGGAAGATGTCCGAGGCGAGGCACATGGACAGCGTCTGCCACACGGTGCGCGCGTGGTCGTACCACTGACTCAGCGACGCGAAGACCGTGGTGTCCGTCTCCGTTTGCCGCTGCTTCTGGGACTCTTTGGCCCTGTCAGAAAATCTGGCGTGCGCGGGAAAAAACTCGAGCTCGTTCCCCGCTGGCTTCTGTGGTCGAAACTTACTTCGCGCGGAGTTTATGCCCAAGGCATTGCCCCGAGAAACCGTACCGTGAAATCGTAACCTTCTGAGACCTGAGAACTGCGTCCGTGCCTGGCGATCCACTGGAAGACCTTCTCCCTGAGCTGCAGCGCCTTCAAAGCATAGAGGTTCGTCGGCCGAGACACCTGGGTGTCTCTGAAAATGGCTCGCTTCGAACTCCAGAAAGGCAAAGAGAGAACCGAAAGCAAACCCTTACGATGGCTTTGGTTGTTGGTCGGTTTTTTGCAGGGGCGCAAAACGGAAACCATCGTTTTAGGGCTCCAAATCTCAACTTCTCCACCCGAACTCCATTTTTCTTTGCCTCCAACGTCCAGCTTTATTTGTCCTTCACCGTTTCGGCCAGCCCCCCCCACAACCAACCCCCACCCCCACCCCCAACCAACCCCCGCCTGCAGCCCGAACTGCACGTCGTCGTTGAAGGCGCTGGGCATCACGAAGATGCTCTCGCTGTCCAAGAAGACCAGGTCCTGGAAGCATGGACCGGTCTCCCACCACCTGCCCCGTTTTGTGTCGGTTTCTTCGTCAAAACGGGGACCCCCCCCCAAAAAAAAAAGGCGTGGCGTTCCTCGTGGTGTCCCTCTAAAACCACAAAAAAAAGGGGGGCACCCTCAAACAAAGACGAAACACCCACCTGATTTTACGGATGGATGTGGAGCAAGATCAGCTGGTAGGTAAAAGTGCGGCAATAGATTGATGCTCCATGCTAACCTGACGGACCTGAGGTTCTGGGTGGAGCCTTTTCATACCCGGTTTCGGTTCTGACTCCTAAGAATCCTATCCCTCAGGATGCTGGCCTCATGAGGTCCCAAAACATCCGATCCCTGAAACCCCTTCTGGCACCGAAGTCCAGACAGGAGGGTGCGATGTTTGATCGGATGGCTACAGAGCAAGTGCTCACACCAAGACACCAAAGGGCCACGACCTTTGATTGGTTGGACCCGTGGGTTGGTCTTGCGAGCCAAGTCTACGTGGCCCTTGGAGGCCGTTTACTCCCCTTCAGAGCCAAACTTCAGAAAGGCTGAAGATGCCAGTGCCACCTGCTCCGTCTTTCCCTCCCTTGCTCCCTCCCAAAACCGAAAACCTAAACCCTGAAAGATGACATCCCGAATCAATCGCAAACCCAACACTGCCATCCCTCTCCCACCCCCAAAACAAAAAAGAAGAACCCCCACCCCTGGATTCCTGCAGCTTGAAGGAGTGAGGCTTCTCCTTCTGCTGCAGCTCTTGCACAGAGTCCTCCAACGACCTCTTCACAGTGGCCACCCACTCGTACCTTGGCCCCAAGACATGCACCAACAATCGCGGGGCCTTGCGTCGCTTCAAAAAGGATCACCCGGGTGAAGGTTCCACGTCCACGAACCACTTCTGGTTGGTGGCTCCAACTCTCAATATTCCCGGCCAAAAAAACAGTCGTCTTCCGAAAGAGGTCACCGCACTGCTTTGTTTGTTGGGAGGCAATATGTCCAGATTCTGTTTAACATTCAGGGATATAACATCATATGTGCGAATGTAGTCCACCTGGGCGTGTGCCGCGTCTAAAAGTGCTCCTTTCCCCGAGGATTGAAATGCCTGTATTGAGACATGTGTATATGTTTCTGTATATGTAGGCTATATGTACGTGTATAGATATATATATATATATGTATACAGTCCATATTTGGATCAACAAATGCAACACATGTGTGCGTATCAACACAGGCGACCCCAAAGTGGCAGCTTCAAACTAACCTGAAAAGGGTACTAACTCCAAAAAACCAAAGTGGCCCTTCTGGGACTTGGTTTTGGGTCCCCGCTGCTCGTATGAGGGGTGTCTATTTTTAGGCTCTTTAAAACCAACGAAAAAGGTTGGTATGCTCAAAAGAAAGGTGCTCCCTCCCTTGCGTTGTGGCTGTAGAGGCAAACACCAGTGTTGGAGGTCCCGAAACACATGGACAGACCCATTTGGCTGTGGCTCAGAAAATGCTACCCAAAATGGTCCTTGGTAGATGGAAACAAGGACCAAAACCTGCGTTGCACCGACTACTGAATTTTGAGCCACAGCCATTTGTTCTAAAAGCTTAACTTTTGGTGGGTTAAATGGAAATCCCCACTAAACACTAAAAGGCTAAAAAGCGAAGGGGAGGGCTGGGGACCACTAAGCTCTGACGGCCCAGATACTGCTGCTGCTGGTTCACCATACTCAGGCACTGCAAGACGAAGCCAATGGCCGGGCTGATCCGCGCCAGCTTCAGGTGGTACAAGGCGAAGAGGCAGACCTCAGCTCGGAGAGGCTGGCCGGCGGGCTGCTCGGAGCTCCACGCGAAATCCCGAAGGGTCGGATGTATTTCGGATTTTTGTTTGACCATTTTCTTCTTCTTGTTTCTTCTTTATATACGTGTTGTTTCCCGTCTTGGCCAACAAAATGGGTGTCGGTCCCGGTTGTTTTAAAGGGAAACCCCTTGTTGGGGTTGGTTTTGAAGGGAAGGCAATTGGACAACCGCCCATTTTTGGGGGCCCCCTACTTTGATTAAGACGGACCAAAATGCTGGTTTAAAGAGAAGCCACTCAAACACCCAAAAGTAATGTCGAGAATCCTGAAAAGCATCCAAGAACCATCTGAAACCAAAGAAATCCTCCAAATCAGATAGTGTTTGGTTGAGTTCACTCATTCGGTTCAGGTATGAAAGGGCCCTGGGCAACCGTCTGTCTGCACCCTGAGTTCACCGTGGGTGTTCAGGTTTCTATGGGCACTCGTTAAAAAAGATGTTGGATTTGGAGCCCCAAGCTTTGGATGTGTCTGTTTTGAGGATACCCCTTTTTACAGGGAAAGCAAATGCAGAAGGCCTGGTACAGAATCAACTTGAGGGATCAATTACGAAGCAAATGCCTGCCTGTGGGACTCAAAACGAACCTGTGTGGCTTGTTCTTCTTGAAAGGGTGCCTTTGCGTGTTTGTTGTCAAGGGAAACTAGAAGGAAACCCAGCAGTATCGAATTCATTTATGTGTTTCTTCATTTTGTTTCACACATTTATCTGTGTGTTTGCTTGTTTGTGTGTGTGTGTGTTTTTTTCTGGGGGGGGTCGGGGGGAGGGAAGTTTGCCGTCACCCCCCACCGCTTCGAGTCAGGTGCCAGGCGCCTGGAATAGGTCTCCCACGTGCCGGCCCAGCTCGCCCCGGTTGTTCACAATCACCAGGTCCGAGCAGGCCATCGTCATGAGCGCCACCTGGGCTCCACATGCGAGGGACCACCCAACCAAAAGCAAAAAAAAAAAAACGCGGCAAAGGCGGGCGGTTTGCTCATGGCGGCTCGATCTTGTTGCTTTGTTGTGTTTAGTTTGTTGGTGTTTGTTTGTTGCTGCTTGTTTTTTTGTTTTTGTTTCTTTTTTTGGGGGGGGGATTCACAAAACAACCAACTGTTAAGAAAAGAAACATGGATGTCCCTGTTGGCTTCCCTTTTTAAACCCCCCTGAAACGGGTAACTCCGAAAAACGCAAAACCCAGGTCTGCCAAGGGTACCCGAACACCGAGACACCCCACCAAAACCATTAAAAAAAAAGAAGCTTTGAATTGGCCGAAAAGGGTGATGTTTTCTTCCACCAAAAAGGGGATGATGGAACTCTTCCAGTGGGTTCTCCATTCTCTTCAGCCATCCTCTTCAGAAACGGTCCAGTCCCACTCCGCTTTTGCCAATGGAATATCGGTCAAAGGACGATCCATATCTCACCGGAATCACTTGGGACGGAACACAAAATGCCCCAAATCGCCTGCTTGTCGAAGACGTCGTCGCGGGCCTCCACGGACAACAGCCCCTCCGTGTCCAGGATCACCAGCAACGCGTGCCTGGGGGGGGCTGGGGGGTTGTTGGGGCAGAAAACGCCCCAAGTCTGGGCCTGCTTTGTGGCTCACCCTTGTAGGTTTCTCCTTAGAAGAGCCAGCCAAAAAGGGGAGCTTGTTCCAAATCAAAAAGAAATATGGCCTTCCAGCCATATACTACTCCACATTGGGGTTTCTCAAAATAGAGATCCCCTAAGACAGCAACTGCTTTGCTGAAATCCAAAAAGAGTTTTCAACTTGTTTGGGCACATCCCGGTGTCCTTTTTCGGCTGCCACATTGAACGGGTTTTAACACATGGGTTTGTATTCATTCCCTTTTCAAACCTTTAACGCGCGTGGTCCTTTGAACAGCCCTCGTTTTGTCCATCCTCGTCTCCAGCAAGGAGATGTAGAGGCCCTTGGTGCAGCGCCCCACGTGCGTGGCAAAGGAGCAGCCGAACAAGTAGTTCCTCGAGTTCAAGATGGCACTTTGATGAACCTCTCTTTTTGAGGGTGCCTTTGTCAGGTTGCTTCAGGGTGCTTCAGGGGTCCCAAAGACTTTCAGGGTGCTTCAGGGGTCCCAACAAAGACTTTCAGGTGCTTCAGGGGTCCCAACCCAATTTCCCTTTCCAGCACCATGTGGGCCACTTTCGAGGGGAGACCTGTGTTTCGAGGGTTACGGCACATAGAACGTATGGTGTCGTTGAGCGTGCCACTTTCAGGTTGGCTTCAAGAGCAATCAAGAGGAAGACCGAAATCCAGCTTGGGGGCTCCCATTCCTGCTTTGAGAAGTGCCGCAAAGATGGTTTGCACGAGTTACAGCAACGCTGGTTTGAGTTCCTCTCATAGGGCCCCTTATTTTCGGGCGAATAATTGTGGCGCTGTCGGCGCAGCATCCGCTCGGCCGACAGATACCCATCTGGCCATGGGTCAAAATCCCGGTTAGCCCCCAGTGAACATCCCAATCCAACCACTGAAATTGGTTCTAAAATGGGTGAATTCACCTACCAACCAAAATGGGATCCCAAGACGGTCTTGACCCACAGCCACTTAAGGAGGTGATAACCCGAGAAATTTTGCTTCGGGCACCTGGGGTCAGACATTCAGACCCTTTACCTGTGCGCGCTCGGACGAAGGATACCCTTTCGGGACGTCCGAGGTTCATCAAAGTGCTCTTCCCCGAGCTCTGCACGCCGATCACCGAGATCACCAGCAGCGGCCTCCGCCGCACCTCGCAGCGAAATCGCTTCGCGAGACCCAGAACCCGGAAGAACCTCAACAAACAAGAAATAGATGAATGAGTGAGGATCTGGAGGTTACGAAAGGACGAAGGAATGGATTGGCTCTTCTCTGGATTCATCTGGCCACACGGTTAGACCTCAGAATTCAGAAACCGTCTCATCTAGAAATCCATGAACTCTTCCCACTCACTATCCCATGCCTCACAGAGAAGACTGAGGCATGAGGAAGAGAGTGGACATCAAGGGGTCCTGGCCGATGGACGAGGGGAACCCAAAGAGGTGGCTTGAAGATGGCGAGGTTCAATAGGGAATCACAGTGGCCGCTGGACGTGAATCCCCACCTAAATGGGGGGCAACACCAAAAGATCGACCAAAAAGAAACAACATATTTTTTGAAAGCTCCTGCCTTGCTTCCCCTTCCCTCTTTCATAAACCGAAAAAAAAATGCCCGGCCGAACCCCCAGAACCGAGGGGCGTCCACGCCGAGGCTTTGGTCCAGGTCCCGCAGCACCTCCCCGATGAAGTCGCTGCCGAAGAAGTTGGCCCCGCTGAGCTGCGGGTGCCACCGCAGAGGCTCGAAGGCGCCGAACTGCAAAGGCGAGGAGTGCAGGAAGTGCAGCGGGTTCCCGCTCCTCGGAGGCGAATGGGGAGAAGGCAAAGGGAAGCCAAAAAAAGACCAGGGGGGGAGAAAAATCCGAAGAAAAAAACGTGGGGCCAAAAAAAGAGCCAGGGGTTCCAACAACTCAGGGGTTGTGGGCACTCAAGGGGACAGACCATGGATCCCTCAGATGAAAACAAACCATCATGTATCAGCTTCCCAAAAGGGTAGTTTTGGATTGGTAGCTTGGTGGTTGAGGGATGTGGATTGCTCTTCTGAAAATGGTGTCCATGTTTTGGAGTTGGCACCCGATAAGTTTGTTGGCAAGTGAAAACCACGAGGAAAACCGAAATCTGTTTTGGTTTTTGGAAGGGGGTCCCCCGCAAAAAGACACACCCAATAGGCTTGTCTCAAAATAGGGATCAGGACCCGTTTTGGATGGTTTTAAAGGGAAGCCAAAAGACCAACTACCTGATATGGTATGACAAAATTAGATGAAGAGATGAAGACTAAAAAAAAACTAAATGAAAACCCAAATATATATATATATATATATATATGAACCAAACGCAGGTGTTGTCTGCTGCCTATTGCTTCATGCCCGCCCCATACTGAAAGACACACCCAAATGTTGTTTTTTGTCCTTTTGCGAGGCCCAGGGAACTTTGTTAGTGATTATCACAGAATTGGTTGTTTTCCACAAGCACGAAGCTGCAGTTGGGTCCATGTACAGTAAGCAAACGGGTTGCTGAAAAGGCAATCACTTGAAGGGACCCAGTGCGATTCAGCTGCAGGTTGAGTACAGCAATACTTGCATGAGGCTTTTGGAGATTCCATTTAGGGGAAATCAATAGGAAAGCCACCAATAGGCTCCCAAACAAAATGAGACACAGCAGAAATATGTTCCTGTAACTTGCAGCACTCCGTCCTTGACTGCGTGGTCACTACAATTGTAGCTTCGTGGACCCGTCATCTCGGCAAAACGTTTGATGCAGACCAAAAGGAGACCAACCTCTATCTGTTTTGCGTGTCCCTTTTCGAGGGCTTGCAAAGTCCAACAGAAATCTGAAGCCCATTTTCGGAGGTTCCCTCATGACATAAAGATTATATGGGGAGGTTGATCAATCTTCCGTTCCGCCCCAAATTGACCATAAACAACTGTTCGTTGAGCGGAAAAAGCACCAAATCCGTTTCGTGGTTTTCCCTACCCCAAGCCAAGGGTCATCCGGTGTTTTACCGGACCGTTTGATCAACCCCCCCCCCATGTGGCTGTGGGTCAAGGGATCCCATTTTGGTTGGCAAGTAACTTCACCGCCCATTTTAGAACCTATTTTAGTGGTGGGATTGGGTCCCGTTCACTGGGGGCTAACGATTTGGCTTTCGAAAAGCCACGTCCGCAAACCGCGCGCCGTTCGCCCGTGTCAACCGCCAGGGCGCTTGACCCAATTCAGGTAGCAGGCCTTGGCCTTTGCGAAGCTGAGGCCAAGCTCCCGCAGGCCGGGCCGCACCCCCGTGCGGTCCAGCTCGTGCCTGCGCTCCAAAAAGTTCGCGTTTTGGGCGTCCTTTTGGGACAAACAGATGGTTTTTTTTCTGGGAAACGGAAGAAAACCCATCTAAACCAGCGCCTTCTATCTTTAACCACACTAACCTAGAAAAGGACACCTATGGTGGTTAGCTCTTCCGGTGCTTTGGCGGCCGCTCGGAGGTTCGATGCGCCAAGTTAGTGATTCGCCACTTGGGTTATAACTAGGTGGGGTAGAACCTAGGTTGGCAACAACTTGCTAACTTGGCGGAACGCCCAAGTAGGCGGTGGTTCTCATCTACCCTCGCAAAGGACAAGGGCTTCAAACCCCCAAACCACCAATTGGGGGGGGGGACCATTTGTTTAGTAAAATGTCTGCCACAAACCCGACTCCAAACACAAAACAGACGAGGGATCTGCAAGTCTCCAAAACCCCCCGAAAAAAGATTGTTCCATGCTAGTAGAAAAGGGAACGATCTGAAAGGTATGGCTCCAATATTTTGTGGGATTTGCACCATAAATCCAAACGTGCAACGCGAAAAGTCTAAGGAACCCTATGGCGGCCGAGGTGCCACAGCATCAGCTCCAGCCAAAAGGAGTCCGTGGACACGTCCACTTCGTCCAGCCTGCAAGCAGATTTGATGTTTTTTTCTTTGGGGGGAGGGGGGACCCCGAAATGGCATGGGTGCGCTCTGTTTCCCCCGGACATGAAGATATTACCTCAGAAAGCCCTGACCCGCGGATTCGTTCCTGCCTTAAGGTTGAACACATTCACAAGATCTGAGTTGCAAAAGAAGTGCCTCCTAAGTTGTCCCATTCAACCGGTGGTTCTCCCCCAGTTTAAAGGTGGCAACCATGGATGTGTCCTGGAAGAATAGATGGTGGCCAGGTTCTTGTAGAGGAGACATGGCACTTCCCGTCCCACCATTCGCTCCGAGCACCCAATTAGGAGGGAATCCGGTCAAAGGAAGCAGCGCCAAAAAGCAATCTTGAGAGACTCACTCAAATTGTCCACATCCTTGGGGGGCAATGTGAATTTCAGCCATGCGGAAGGAAAACAGAGCACGAATTGTGAGAAGAGAACGAAACCTCCTCCTGGCTTGTTTCTCACTCGAACAAATGCATTTCAGCACTGGTGGCAGTGGATTTCGTCCGTCCACAGTGGACCACTCATGGGTATATGTTGAAATGGGGACCAACCCTTAAACTATGATCTAACCAGCCGACGAATCCGAGGTACGGTCAAAATGATGCAGGTTCCCGAAGTGGCGCCCCACGGCCCCAAACCCCAAGTGGGACACAGACAAATCGGCGCCTCTCAAAAAGAGGGCAAGCTGCAAAAAATCTGGCTTTCCTCGTGGTCTCCCTTTAACACCAACCAAAAGAGGGTAGCCTCACAGGAACACACGTTGGCAGTGAGGGGAACCCAAGGTAAATGATTCACCTCCAGCCATCCCACATCAGGCCCTTTGATCATGGCCCGGCCCAAGGGTTTCACGTGACTGTTGGATTATTTACTCAGTATCTGACCCACATCCAGCTGTGTCCCAAAACTCACAAGAGCTTTAAGCTGGCAATGAGGAGGGGAACCCAAGGTAAAAATGATAAACACATCCAGCCAGGCTCCCACATCAGCCAAGTGTCCCAAAACCTCACCTGAGTCATAGTCAAAACCCGGTAATAAAATGGTCTACCCAGAACCATGCTTCAAGAATTATGAAGGCGGAGATCCGCAGCTATTTATGGCAAGGGGATTGTCCCCTACTAACCTTCATCTACCCGGGTTTTCATTGTGGCTCAGGTGACCTGTGAGAAATATCTGTGCCTTTACATGAAGGACCCTCCCAAAGTGGCATCGGCTTTTTCCCGGAAAAGGCCTTTTATGGAAACCCTCCAAAAAGCCCCAAAAGAAGGGTGCCGAGAAAAAAAAACAGAAAAGATCAAAAAAGGAAGAAAAAAGCGGACACCCGAAAAAAAAGGGGGGGGTCAAAAAAATGGGCCAAAGAAAAGAGGGCACCCTCAGGGAAAAAAACAAAACGACCGCCCACGACCGCCCGGCCTCCTCTGCAGCTGCGCCAGGTCGCTCCGCAGCTGCGCCGCCCGCGCGGCGCTCGGCTCCGAGAGCTTGGCCTCGGAGATGAGGCGGTCCAGCTCCTGACCAAACGCGCGCCGCGCGCGCGCGCGCGCGGTGCAAAGGGGTGCGGTGTGTCCTGCGTCCCAAAGCACACCCAAACTGCACGCGCCCTAGCACCCAGCCGTCAATCTCGCACATCACGTTCCCCTCTTTAGAAGTTAGAAGCCCTATAGCTTGCAGCTATCTGAGGAAAGACAGTACCACCTGTTTCGGGGTGCTGTTCCACCAAGCCCGAAAAGGGTACCCTCCAGCAAATACACCCCTTGGATGAAATATAGTCCGCGCTTGTTGGCCTGTTGTTGCTGGAGAAACTCAAGTTTTGACCTCCGTAGCCTCCGGAGGCAGGGGTGGCTTCCCCTTGCCCGAGCAAGGAAGTGGTAGCTAAGGCTCCAAAGCTCCTTTTCGCGTCCTTCCTTCCACCCATCAAGCAATCCTTCATCGGCGGTCCGGATTGGTGGCTAAACGGGGTTCCCCCGCTCCAAACCAGGAAGCTGAAGCTAGAACGAGAACCCCGGCAGCACCCCCAACTTGGACCCAACGGAAACCTTGACCCAACGCAACTTGGTTTGAACTCCTTGCGAAGCGCCAGCTTCCTCTGCAGCAGCGGATAGCGCTTCGTCTGCTTCCACTCATTCAGGCACGCCCCGAACTCCACGATGAGGCTGATGTCACCTTCCCAAAGATATATGGCTGTGGCTCAAAAACAGGGGTCCAGAATGGAACCTTGGTAAATGGAAACTTGGACTACAACCTGCGGTCCCCTGGTGGTTTAATTTTGACCCACACCCATATCAAAATGACTCCAAAGCCTGAGGTATCGTTGAAAACCCGTCTTTTTGAGTATGGCTGTATGGCTGTATGGCTAACCAAACATATATCAAAAAGACTCCAAAGCCCGAGGTAGCGTGGAAAAACAGTGTCTTTTTGAGTATGGCGGTATGTTTACTTGCTATTCAACTTGATGGATTGGACGAGTCGGTGAAAGAGTTGTGCTTTGCTTGTTTGGACAAATAGGTGATTCCCGAATGTGGCTTGCCTTGTTGGTTTTCTGCAAGCTACCTCAGACGCCCAGATTTCCATGAGCAAAAGGAATTGGCCCCTGTTGTTGATAATTTATGGGTTTGGGTTTTGCTTGGCCTCGAAAAGCAGTTGTGAATCCCTTTTGCTGTGCGGTTTTACCTGCTGGTTTCTCAAAGTAGAGATTTTACCTTGTGGTTTCCTTCTGACATGTCCCCACGCAGCCAAAGTTACCCTCGGAAGCAAACCAAAGGCTTTTGGACTACCATCGCATGCAAAATGCCGGCCTTTCATTCCACTCCAGTCCAGACTGTGTCAAAACAAATCCATGTATGCACTGTAAGAGGAATCCCGACGCATGGCTCTGCACCCTTTCTTTTTGCCAATTGGTTCGAGACCTCTGGAAACCAAACCTAAAGTTGCTTATGTCTCACATGGGATTCGCGTCGAAACCAACCGAAACTTGCTGGTTCTCAGCAGGGAATGAGAAATGGAATGAAGCCTACAAACCATCCAACTGCTGGTTTCCCTTATTCGGGAAGCCCCAAAACCGGTTCATGCCCAACCTGACTCGGTCATTCCCTACCTAGCGCATCAGCAAGTGGAAGCACCCCTCAAGTTGATCACTGGCGAGCCGGAGATCACTCACTTCCCTTTCACAAGTTGATCAGACCAGATTTCCCTTGAGTTGCAACCGACTCCTAGGCTGTGGGTCAACAATAGGTACCCCAAATGGAACCCTAGTGGAAACATGGACCAGAACCTGTGGTCCCCTGGTGGTTTAATTTGGACCCATTTCCACTAGGTCCACAAAAAGGGGGAAAAACCGCTGCCGCCAACTTCCAACCGCCTGTCTGCACCAGCTGCGCAAAGGTGCGGAGCAGCGGGTGGGGTGCTGCTTTCTGGCGCTCCAGCCGCAGCCTCGCGATCTCGCGATCGATGCCGTCCACGTTGGACTCCAGCAGTCGCCGCTCCTGGCGATAGATCGTCAGCTTCCCTCGCGGGTTTTTTTGGAGCCCCCTTTGGTGGTTAGGTCAAGTGGTGGACTCCATTTACCCACAAAAACAAGAGTGTGGATGCACGCACAATCCCTTCGCGCCACGAAGTGAAACCAAGGTTGAAACGATAGCGCTTGGTGTTTACAATGGGGAGTCATCAGACACCGGCGCTTCTTGGGTGGAGGCACAGTAGCTCAGCTTCCCAGCCCGGTGGTTCGGAGGTCAATCCCCGGTGTTCTCCATTTTCCCCAAACCGCCGGGCTCAGGGCAACCTAAGGCAATGCCAAAACATGGCTGTGGCTCAAAAAACAGGTACCAAACTGGAACCCTGGTAAGTGGACATATGGACCAAAACCTGCGTAACCCCTCCTGTTTAATTTTGAGCCACACCCACATGGGTTTAAACAGAACCCCTTTGGAGCAAAAAACAACCTGAGGAGTCCTCTCTGTTTCTTGCGGGGGCCAGTGAGAAAGCTTCCAAAACGGAGCTCAGAGCACCTGTGAGGCAATCTGGAAGATCTTCTTTTCCAAGGGACTCCGACCCTCCATATGCGTTGATTGTGAGGGAGGGGCTCTGTAGTCCATTCCGGGGATTTGGGGTTGAGTTCAAAGAACCTCCCGAAGCCTTTTTACAAGAGATGGTGTGTGTGTGTGTGTGTCTGGTAAACCCTATTTCTTGATCCCAAAAAGCCCACCCTGCGCGGGGGTTTTGTCCTCCGGCTCCAAGTACTCGCGCCCTCGGCCCAGGCACCGCACCTGGAGAGAAGCTCCAAGTTTCAGCCATGCCTTTGGGGGTCCCTCAACGGGGGGTTCATTCGCGTTGCCTTACTTTTGCCCCATTGAAACCAACGTAGAAACGTGCTTGTATTCAAAGGGTTCCATCCATCCCATTTGGCGCGGGATGGCGTCCATCCTTTACTTATTCATTTGTGTGCTGGTCAAGGGGGGTCTGCTTGGACCTTTTGGGCAAAAGTGAACCATGTTTGAAAGTGGGGGTGTTGTTGTTTTCCCCCCTTACCAAGCAATTGCAACAAGTGCAATCACCCAAACAAAGGCGTACCTAATCAAAAAAACAAACGCAAGGAAAAGAAGGAACGTACTCCAATCTGCCAAAAAGGGAAACAACAGCATGTAGCTTCCCGTTACGCAAACCCCACCAACAAACAAAAAGCAAGACAACATCTGAAAAAAATGAACAAATCCCCCACCCACCCGCCCCCCCCGCCCTCGGCCCCACCCTCCAAAAAAAAGCGAAGTCAGCTACGCGTCTCCCAGCGCCCCCTCGCCTTATCCTGGATCAGCGTGGTGAGCTGCTGGTGGCTCTGTGCCACCGGGAACCTGCAGCTTCTACGGCGGACTTTTTTTTTTCCCGAACAAAGCGAAGGGCGAGCCTTGCCATCACCAACAAAGCCTTGCCATGGCTTTGTTACACAGCTTTCGTCGAACAAAGCATGGTCGGACTTGGAACCACCAACTGAGGTTTGTCAGTTTCTTCTTCTTGGGCCGCTTTTGGTGAAAGCAAACCAAGGAAACCATTCCCGCTCTTGGCCGGCCTCTTGAGACAAACTTGCACGGCTTTGCTCCATGGCAGCCATGGCACAGCTTCCCCAGCAGCTCGCAGCTGCCGCCGGCGCCGGTGCCGCCCAGCTCCGAGAAGACCCGCTGGGCCAAGGCGCCGTAGCTGTCCTGCGCCTTCGGCAAAGTCAAGGAGTCCTGGCAACGTTTTCGGGTACACCCAAAGCGAATCACTTGCCCGAACCAAATTTGGAGCCTTCTTAACCCAAGAGGACACCCCTTTTACTTGAAAGTCCATTTTTTTGAACCAATGAATGTTTCCTTCCCGTGGGCAGTCATCTCCGCCAACTGCTTTTGAGGGGAACTTGATTTAAACATCACCCGTTTGGCCAGCTTCACCTGAATTTCCTTTTGGAGGGGACATGAAATGTAGGAGGAAGCTTGTCAGACCCATGTTAAGAACCACCTAGTTGGCTTGTGCCCTTTTTCACCAATTCACAACATTCACGAAGCCATCCATTTGCTGGGATCCTTTCCAAAACCCACTTCCTAACAAATTCCTCACATTTCAGAAAGCCGTCCTCTTTCTATTTTTTTTAGGGGGGGGAAATATGTGTTGACCAATTCTTCAAACAATTCAGGAACCGATCCCCAATTGCTTTTGGGGGAACATGTTTGCGTGTGTGTTTCTGTTCTAGTGTTTTACCTTTTGTTTCCGGGATGTATGTGCGTTCTTTTCTGTGTTGTTTTTCCTTCTTTCCGGGATGTGTGCGTGGTGCCTGCTTGTTTGCTTGTTTCCTTCTTTCTCTGTTTTTCCTTCCGGGACACCTCTTCCCCCTCTTTCCTGCTTCTCCAGGAGCTCGAAGAGCTCGTAGTAGCGCTGCTGCAGCACCGCGGCGGGGGGGAACTTCCTGTGGCTCCGCGCAGCTTCCGCCAGGGCCTCCTCGAGGCACGGCCCGGGGCCCAGGGCCCGGCTCTTCCGCAGCGACTTCACCTCGAGAGCTGGACCAGATGGTTTTGGGGGATTGAAGCGAGAAAACGGAGGAACACAAATGGTGGACCTTCCAGGGAGCGGACCGCTTGCAGGAGTTTATGCGTGTGCCTCTTGGACTTTTGGTACCAAGATGGACATGAAGGTGAGAACTGATCATATGGGTGTGCCTCAAAATAGGAATCTGAACCAACAAAACGGTGTTCCCCCGAAACATGGCGCCCAGACCGGACTTCCCACACCCAAGCGGAACGGGACCTGGACATGGGCAAGGAATGAGTTGGAAAGACCAAGCTGAACCAGCCCTCGTCAGGATCCCACTTCTGGAGCAAGCCTCAACGGTAGACTTAAACCCGGTTGAATTCACAGGCTATCCGCAACCAAGCCAAGCTCCTTTTGACCATGCTACCAGCAGCTGAAAGGGAAACAAAAGGGAAAGCTGAAGCCTATTTGGGAGGCCCAGATCCCTATTTTGACAGAGGCACATAAGTTTTAGTTGGTTCCACATGCCTCACCCAAACTGCGCCTCAGAAACACATTGGATTCTTTCTTGGGGGTTCTGATTGAAGGGTTCTGAGAACCATTTAGCCCTAGATTTACGAAACCTGGGCGGGGTCACTCTCAAAACTTTGTTTGAGGGCTCACCTGAGAACTTCTTATTGGGTCTGGGCACTTGGATTTGCATGTCTCTCAAAATAGGTGGACCTCCCATTTCAGGTCTTCCATTTTGGTTTCTCTTCGAAACCTCCAACCAGTTGGCTTGCTGGGGCTCAGTCAGGAATAAGTTGGAATGAAACTGGGGATTCCCGAACAAAGTATTTCCAAAACAGATGGTTCCGAAGAAAGGAAACCAAAAACGATGGTTCCGAATAAAGGAAACCATAGGAAACCATAGGAAACCATAGGAAACCAAAGGACATGGATGGTTTGGGCAGCTTGCAGGGAATTTCTCTCGGGGTTACCCTCAGTCCATGTCCCATTCCCGGAGTCCTCGTTGGTGAGCTCCGTTGGCCCCAGGCTCGACAGGCACGGCACCAGCCACGCGGAGATCCTGCTCGAACCGTCCGTCCAACCGCCTTCCGTAGAACCGTCTCTCCGCAGAGAAAAACATATGGAAGGGTCTCAAAATGGTGGACCCCTTGTAGCATTTTTTTGAGAAGCTCCCATGTGTGTATGACCAATAAGAACACTGATGATTCAATTTGTGTTGTGTTGTTCCTTTTTTTGAAAGAACAGAAGAAGAGATAGGAACAAAAAAGGAGTGTTGCTGAGCCCGCGCTTGAGGATGTCCTTCTGCTCATGAGCCAAAAGGGGTCAACCAAAGCACTCTCGAACTATGTTGAAAAAGACATTTTAGGGGAACCCCAGTCTGATGGGAAACCAACCAACGTATTTGGCTTTGGTTTGACAAGGGGAACCCCTCCAAAGCGGTTGGTGGGTTGGCCACGATCCCCACCTACATGATGTCCACAAAGAGTCCCTAATTAACATTCAAACCCATTTTGAGACGAGACCAACCCCATAATCCGAGCCATTCAGGGGGAACGAGTTGCTGTCCGTACGCTGAGTCAGACGCCAAAACGGGTCTCTTATAATACGGGCGCCCAAAAAACAGTCAGCTTTCTTGCGGTTCCTCTTGAAAACCACTCTAAAGGGGGTACGCTCAAAAAAGCACACACACAAACATACAAACAAACAAGCAAGCAAGCAAGCAAACAAACAAACAAGAAAGCAACCAAGCAAGCAAGCAAACAAACAAACAAACAAAAAAGAAAACAAGCAAGCAAGCAAACAAACAAACAAACAAACAAACAAACAAGCAAGCAAGCAAACAAACAAGCAAGCAAGCAAGCAAACAAACAAAGAAACTAACAAGCAAACAAGCAAGCAAGCAAACAAACAAACAAGCAAGCAAAGAAACAAACAAACAAACAAACAAACAAACAAACAAACAAGCAAGCAAGCAAGCAAGCAAGCAAACAAACAAACAAAAAAGAAAACAAGCAAGCAAACAAACAAACAAACAAACAAACAGGCAAACAAGCAAGCAAACAAACAAGCAATCAAGCAAACAAACAAACAAACTAACAAGCAAACAAGCAAGCAAACAAACAAACAAACTAACAAGCAAACAAGCAAGCAAGCAAACAAACAAACAAACAAGCAAGCAAACAAACAAACAAGCAAGCAAAGAAACAAACAAACAAACAAACAAACAAACAAACAAACAAACAAACAAACAAGCAAGCAAACAAACAAACAAACAAAAAACACACACCATAATCAAGTTTATCAAGTCACTTAGTGCCCGAAGCCCGGTCCTTTGTCGCCGGGTGAGGCGGCGCACGCTCTCCACGCACCCCGCCACCCGGCGCTGCTCCGTTGGCCCGTGGTCGTCCTCGGCATCCCGCAGCAGCAGCAGCAGGTTGCCGCCGTCCTGGCGGGTTCCATGTCAGTGCCCTCTAGTGGTTTTGAGCCCATGGACCAATGGAGGTTCCATGTTAGTACTGTGGATTGCGAAATCCATGTCACACCATCTAAGAACCCCTGGTTTCTGATCATTCCCCTGGAAAATACCAGCAAATAATAGTTTCAACCATGGTATCAAAGTGGTGCGAAATGGATTTTGTCCATCCACAGTAGGACAGGGGGTTTACCTGGAAGCTTCCAAGGAAGGCATCCAAACCACCAAAGAAGGACCCTCCAATTGCGGTTTTGAGCCCACGGAGGTGTTCCGGGTGGCGTCCCGTCTTTTGCCCACCAATCCAAACCACCAACCGCCTGATGACATGAGTTCCCCTTGAAAAGCGAAAAATTGCTGGTGGTTCCAATGAAACTGCCACGGGGACACAGGGTTGACATTTCGATTTAAGCCTTACAAAGGCTGGCAAACTGTTGGACAACTAAAACCTACAATGGTTTCAACACAGATTGGTTGAGAACGCCTCTTTCGGTTCCCTTCAAAGGAATTGGACCGAATTGGGCTCTTCTAAACATGTGCATGGGTATGTGTTTGTGATTCGGGACCCTATGATGGACATCAGAATTTGGTGGGGATTTATGGCCACCAACCGCTCTTCACGGGGTTCCCTTTTGAAATTCATAGCCCGTGGGGTTGCGTTTTCGAGGGCACCCATTTTTCGGAGTTTATCAAGAAAACACACGCACGTGTCACAATGAACTTGAATGAGGCATTCCCTCCTAAATGGTTGGTGGAAACAACTCCCCACTGAATTCCGTCCACCACACCCTATCAAAACAGGGAAAGGGGCTTGGACCCCCAAACCGAATTGCGGCTTTCCTCTTGGCTTGGGTGACAAACAAGAGGTACCACCTCAACAAACCGCAGCTTCCAGGGATTCCACGCCTCGGGCAGCACCTCCAGCAGGCTCCGCAGCTTCTCCGAGGGCTCCGTTCCGCTTGGAAAGTCTGAGCGCAGCGACGCGTGGAGCAGCGTGACCGCGGCGAAGCTGTGGAGCGTCGCCGTGAGCGCCCGGCAAAGCTTCCCATCCTCCGATGGAAGCTGGGAGGAATCAAAATGTATGTTACCGTTTCTCTTTTTTTCTATAGGGGACACCTACAATGGTGGTTGTCCTTTCTGTAAACCAACAAGATAACAAGTGTACCCGCAAAAGGACTGACACGTCCATATGTTGATAGCTTAGTCATTCCTTCGTTCGTCCATTCCACCCTTAGTCCTTATGTTTTAGCGGAACATGTCATAAACCTTGGCTAAACTTCTGGCGGGATACCATAAACCCCCACCAAACGAAACATCACATCCAAAAAACGCGTTCAGCTCACCGATTCGCCGAGCATCGAAGCCGTGCACGTCCGCCAAGGTCACCCCACGCATGCACTCCTCCCGCGCAAAGTCGCTGATGAGGTCGATTGAGGCCATAGTGTGAATCCGCAAAGGCGTCTGGTGCACAGACCGGAAATGGCACTCCTGCAAAGCGTAGAGGTACCTCAGTGCAACGGGATGGAGAAAGAAAAAGACCGCCGCCCCCCCCTGCTTGGAGTTGGCGGAGTTGAAAAGGGAGACCCCCACTCCCAAGAAACAAACGTGGGTCGTTGATTTTAAAGAGAACCCCTTCCCTAGAGAAAAGTTGAGGGGAGAACAAGTTGTTCAGTTCCGAGGTTGACAATGGAGGCACCCCCTTTTTGGGCTGGTTGATCTTGAAGGGGGTTCCCCACAAAAAAACACCGAGAAAGCCCAAAAGCAACAAAAAAAAGTTGTTCGGTACCCCCCCCCCCCCACAAAAGCAAAGTCGAAGTTGCCGGAATCCACTTGCATCGGGGAGACTGAAGCAGGTAGGACTTGCCCAAGGTCTGACTCGTCCCCAGCGACAGGACCAACGGACACGAAGGGCTGCAGAAGAGCTCTCGCAGTGCCCCCCACTGGATCTGCGAGCACAACTGCAGGCCTGGGCTGAAAAATGGGACAGGTTTTAGATAGCTACCATGTCCTTGAAGACCAGGAGGGTAGCTGCTTAGCCCCTGTAAAAAGAAGCTCAAATTTGGATACCAGTAAGGGCGACAAGGGCTACAAGTCTGCAAAATGTCCAAATAAGGCTGCTGGTCCCTGGGGAAAGGCCCCCAAAACTGGTGACACTGGTGCTTGACCTGCCCATTTGGCTGCTTAGCGACTCCAGACAACAACAAAACAATCAAACCTTACAAAATAGGAACACTCAGAGCAAGACATCCAAAACTAAAAAATGCAAACAAACAAACAAACAAACAAACAAACAAACAAACAACAAACAAACAAGCAATCGCCTACTGGGAAGTTAGTGATAACCTGCTTATTGGGTGAACCACCGGTTCCGAGCCAGCCTCCACCTGGCTCCTCCGGCACCGCCCACCCAAAGAGCAGCGGCAGCGGGGAGTCCGTCTTCGCCGCCAGCGTCATCATCCGCGCCTGCGATGTGCCTGGGGAAAAATGGCGCGGTGTGCCCCTGTGGCCCCCACAACCCGCCGCAATCAAAGACTTCACTATACCCTTGGCTCAAATTTGGGGGAGCCAAGCAGGGTAGACCCACAAAGGAAAAACAAAACATGAACACCTGAGTCACAATCAAAACCCGGTATCAAAATGGCTGACCCAGAACCATGCCTCAGGAAATATGAAGGCGGATATCCGCAACTATTTATGGGATTGTCCCTTGCTAACCTTCATCTACCCCAGGTTTTGATTGTGGCTCATTTTAACATTAAGAGCTGGAACCACCTAAGTGGTTGGTGGACATGAATCGAGACTCACCCAACTCTGATGTCAAAGGGTCCCCAACTAAAATCCAAGCTTGTTTCAGTCAAGGCTTGGTGTTAAAAGAGACCCCAAATCCTTGGTAAGAATCTACCTGAATCGGTGAGAAACGGCACTTTGATCTTCGTCGTTCGCAAACCCTTTCTCGCAAGCCGCAAGCCGCAAGCCGGGCCTGGGGGCATGGAGCTGAAGGTCAAGGCGATCAACACATCCCTCGGCTGCAGATGCTTCCGCAGCAACACCTTCTCCGCCTGCACCGGACGCCATGCGGCACCGATGGCACTGCAAAACCTTCGCCCCCCTTGCTGAAACCTTCGGTCCGCTTATCACCCAGAAATCTACAAATTGCCCTCCCTCCAACTAACGTGGCCACTGACAGGGGCTCCCTTCAAAAGGAAATGAATCTTCCAGGTACCTCCCCACAGGTGCCATGTTCGTTGGAGGGAGGGCATCCTTCTTCCCCACTAGGGAAGCCAAAGAACTGCTTTCAGGCGCTCGCCGAATCGCCTTGTCGAGGCCGCAGCTCCGGAGAATGTTCAGCATGGAGGAGATGCCCTCCGAAACTGAAAGCTTCCCTGGTTTTTCTATGTACCCAGAAGATTCAGGGGTTGAAACCCCAAACCCAACCGGCGACTGAGGGCTACCTGACTCACCTTCCCCCCAGTTGGTGGTTTTGTTTGGCGGTTTGGATGCTAGGGGGTAGCTTCCACTTGGTTTCGAAGGGGACACCCACCAATCAATGAAGCTGACAGGAGATTGCTTGAAAAATGGGTCTCAAAAAGATCGGACCCGCAATGGCGGGGCTTCCTATTGGTTAAGCCAGACTTTTTGTTGGGTGGGGTTGGGGGGGTGAAGGGTTGAGGGGTTGGGGTGGGGCTGGGGGTTCCCCCTTCCAACTCCAAAAAGCACACATCCATCCATGTTGAAACCGGTCGGCATCACCCGAAACTCCAACCACCCCCAAATCGTTGAAGGCTTCCGCAGTACCAACCCATGTTCCAAGCGGTATGGAACCCAAAACCCCTCGCACCATTTGGGAGGGTTCTCCCGGGTCCCAAAGACATGCCGCCCGCGTCAGGGCGGGAGCCGCTCTCCGCGCCTGGCGCCGCTTCACCAGGTCCACCAGCAGCGGCTTCAGCGCCGCCACCAGGCGCCGGCCCCCGCAACGCTGCCGCGCGTCCGCCACGAAGCCGCGGCAGAAGCGCTCGAACTCGTCCTCCACGGCGCCGCTCTCGCCGAAGCGGTCGTAGACCTCACCAAAACCGTGTGGGGCGCGGGGGCTGTTTTGGGGGAGCCCCCGGCTGGTGGAAAAGGGAAAGCCAAAAAACCCGATAATCCGGCTTGGGGTCCAAATATCCTGGGGTCTGTTGTCTAAAATTTATGAGGAGGTTTCAAAAATTGCAACTAATTACCCCAGCAGAGAGCGCTTAGAAGTTTGAACCCCTAAAGCCTTCGGTATCTTGAGGAAAACCCCTTTTTTGTTTCACAAACACCTGTGTGTGTATAAATCCAAAGTGCATTCTCTCAAGATGGTTTGGAAGATGTGTCAACACGAGCTCAAAATGATGAGCTCGGGGAGGTGCTTGAAACAGCACTCTTCTATTTGGGTCCGCATTGAGGGCCGGTGACATGCATTTGTTGCGTTGACTCGGAGCGATCCAACGAACGACTATGCGCCTTGAACTCAGTTGCCCAAAGGACCGGGAAGAAGAAAAAGAAGAAAGACAAGAAAGCACATGGGCCATGAGTACAAACGGACCAAAGAGGCGAGACTCATCTCAAGAGGTCGGCTTTGGGCAAGCGAGCGATTACTTCAAAACTGTGAAACCACCCGGGGACTTAAAGCTGCGCGAGCGCGGAGGGCCTGAAGTTCAAGATCACATGCAGGTCCCCCAGGCCCGTCCTAGACAATTGCATAATCCCCGAGATTTCAATGGTGCGGGGCAAACAAAAGAGCGGCATGCGCTCGAAGCTCACCATGTTGTCTGGCAAGTCGTGGCTCTTCTTTGCTTTGCGCCATAGCCTCATGCATAGCTCCAGCGAGTAGTTGTACACGAAGACTTCTGACATTCTCCGCCCAATCAAAGACGTCAAAGGGGCGGAGGCAGCACACACCAGCATGGCTTGAACATCTAAGTCAAGGAACATGTTCTTGCCTTGGAGCGCAACCGCTTGCACCATGATCCCACGGCTGCCCTGGCTTCCTGAGTTCACGGAATCCTCAGACAAGTAGGTTGCTTGGAACGAACGGCTACTGTTAGGTGCAGCTTCAGAATGCCCACGTAAGCAGCTGAGACCCTTGTAAAGCTCAAGCTGCTCTCTGTCATCCGTGTCGTGAATGGCATCGGCTGCCTTGCTTCCAGCCAGCGACTGCAAATCTGTGAAGTCGCGCAGGCCAATGAGATGGCGGGTCTGTCCACTTGGTAGCTGGTACTTAATTTGAAACACCTCAGTGCGAAACTTGCTGGCACAGCTGTCCACCAGATGCGTGTGAAACGCCTGGGCAACGGAGCTGGATGCGTGGGATGCCGAGTCCTTCCGCAGAATCTCTTCTGCTCTCGCGGCTTCATCTCTGGCAACGAATTCGGAGAACCGCAAGCCTTGGTCCGGCTCGAGGGATGAGAAACAAGAAATGTTAGAAGGCGTTGCAATAGAAACAAAAACCTTCCTCAAGGAGAAATGCTCCCCCAAGTTGCTGCCATGCTATGCTGCTGCAAACGTCACAGGCAAAGTCAATCATCAAGCAAAATGATACATCTTGAGCACCAAATATAAGAGCCATCCCCACCAACACCACCTGATAGAAGCCGCGAACCCGAATGCAAATTGACTGCCCAAAGCTATCATTGCGTGTGTGTCCCTGGCTATCCATTTACCTGTCTTTTTCACCCATTAATACTTCTTTCAATCCATCTGCCTGCCGATTCATCCATGCATCAATTTGGGTATCTGTCCATCGACGCATCTGTACATACCTATCTATCTAACCTATTCTACACAATGCTTCTCTGGAGTATTCTAATGTATCCTATTCTAATCAAAGCTAGTCTATGTATTCAACTATTTGCCTACCTATCTACCTCCCTATCGATCTATCTTATCTTATTTTATTTAATCTAACCTATCTATCGATCTATCTATCTATCTATCTATCTATCTATCTATCTATCTAATCAATCTATCTATCTACTATCTACCTATCCATCCATCCATCCATCCATCCATCCATCCACCCATCCATCCATCCATCCATCCATCCAGCTAGCTATCCATCTATCTATCTATCTATCTATCTATCTATCTAATCTAATCTAATCTATCTTTTTCATTCTAACCAAATTGATCTATCTCGTTACCTCCATCTTTCTAGATAATCTAGTCTAATCGCACCATCTAGAATCTAGTCTGGTCCAATCTAGACCCCCCTTTATAACAGGGCCCTTCTGCCACGTCTTCGGGAACCAGGAACCAGAACCAGAACCGCCAGCATAAATTGAAGGCGCGCCTTGTGTAGAAGAGCCACCTCGCAGGAGCATGGCGGCCAACTTGGGGCAGTGCTCTGTGAGCCTCAAGTCATCGTCCAGCTCCATCACCGCCTCGCAGGTCAGCTGCAGCAAGCCAGAGGCAGCATCCAGCTGGGAGGAGACGTGGTTTTCACGCAATCGGGCCGCGACTCTTTGTTCGAAAGTGTTGTGGACAAAGCGCACCAGGATGCCTGCCAGATCGGGCGAGGAATTGCTGCAAGAACCACATGAAATGATTGCGCAGAACGTTCACTGGCAACCACGTAGGCCTTGTAAACAACGTCCACTGCTGCCTTTTTAACCTTGCACCCTCTGGGCATGGCTAGGACCCAGCAAACCATGCAGAATCTGGCCCGATTAAAGCTTTACAACTGGAGGGAAGAGATGTCGCGGAATTGGCCAAACCTCTTTGTGAGCCACAACCATTTCCTGGCCATCCACTGCTAAATCCCCAGACAAACTTCACGCCTACACAACCTGCCATGACGAACTCGGCTGCGATGAGGGTGCCCGGGTGCTGCAAGATGGTGTCGGCAGCATCTTCCGGGTCGGCTAGCAGCGCCCGCAGCACCACGATACCGGCCACGCCCGAGTAGATCGAACACGCCATGAGACAACTCTGGACGAAGAACAGAGACGGCACCTCGGGCCAACAGGCTCTGTTTCCTTTCGAAACTTTCAACGTAGATACAGTAGCCTATGACTTCCCACTCGCCCCAATTCGTAGTCACATGGATTCTTCAAATCGCTGTGCTTTAACACTCCGCCTGTACTGCCACGAGGCAGAAAAGCCGCACAGAGAAGGCCTGGGATGCATCGCAGCCGCTGGGGCTAACCCAGACAGCCACGAAGATGTGGGAAATGAAGTACCAAAGGTTCAGCGTGTGCAACGTCAAGATGCAGGGCAGCCAAGTTGCAACGAGGGAAAAGTTGTACAGCACGCCATTCCAAATGGCCAAGGGTGAGAGGAAGAGTGGACGGCCAGTTAGGATGTTCCTCTGCAAAACAGAGAACGAAAGGCACAAAGTAACTGCAGCGATGGAGAAGTAAGACTGCGCAAACTCCAGCTGCAACTGGGAGACCTGCTTGCGAAGGACCCGCTCTGAATCGCTGGGCTTTCTGATGAATTGGCTCACAACGCCTTTCGCGAATCCCGGCAGCTCACAAATTGCCTTTGCGATGCGCCTGCGCCACTGCCAAACTCTGATGACAAGCACGAGTTGCAGCAGTGCGCAAGATGCCAGGAAGGCCAGTTCGCCGGGGTCCAACATGAGGCTCGTAACTACAATTTGGGCTTTGCCAACTTGATAAATGCATAGAGCCAACAGCCACTTTCGTCCACTGGAATGACGTGCCAATCTCCAGAACTGACAAACCCTTTCCCAACCCGGGCAACACGCAGTGCAGGAAGAAAAAAAGGCTGCAAGGTTGGCAAAGGACGCTTCAGCAAATGGCGCCTCTAGCTTTCTCGAAGACAAACCGATTGGCCCAAAAAACTGCCGCTGGGCTCAGTGAATGCAAGTTATAAGAATCTAGTTTGCCAGGTTGACAAGATGAATGGTGGCCCTTCTTTCAGTGAAATGTCACTGGAACAAGTCCGAAAAGGGCCAAAACTTGTGACATCCTTCCACAAAGAAAGAGCAATGGCGAAGAGTGATCTCGACATGGCGGTTGTAGACCGCTCGTTTCTGCCATAACGGCTCCTGGAAAGCGGATGGAATGGTTCCATGACCGGTCTGACTGCCCCATGGTCGAGTGCCGGCATGTAGAAACAAAGCTATGGTTCCAGGACGGTCCCGGTTGAAAGAACAGCATGCGTTTCCAACGGCACCAAAACTTCTGTGCAATTGCGGCTGGTGTGCGATCATTCCCTACACAAAGGACCAAAATTGCTTGGTCTGCTGTCAGTGTCAAACGAACTGTCGCCAACTAAACCCCAAACCCCTTCTCGTCGAAAGATCCACGGGGCCATGGCCTCAACAACCCCGCAAGACCCCCGCAACAACCCCGCAACAACCCCGCAACAACCCCGCAACAACCCCGCAACAACAGAAACTCCAAGGTGAATGCACTTGTTCGCAATCGTCTGACAAACTTCTTGAATCATGCCTTCCAACAACCGTACACAGTTGGTAGGTCCCGGGTGGCGGGGCCAGTGAATTGGAGGGAGCTTTGACAGGACGTTCTCAAGATTTGACACTCCAACCAAATGTCTCCAACCAAACTCTTAAAATTAAAGTTCGCCTTTCCAAGAGGTGACCCAGAACTCAGGACTAGGAAACCTGCTTGGCCCATAAACCAACAGGCAGATGTTGTTTAGGTGACAAGGGTGTGGCCCCAAAAAAAGGAGAGTATGCCCTGTAGTTTCCCAATAGAAACATCGAATGGGCACCAACTCAAAAGGACGAGCCACCCAGGCCTCAAGGCAAGCCCCGCCTCCACCTTCAGGAAGCAACGATCCACCGCCTGAGATGTGGCCACGTTCTCGGGGATGCCCAGGAGCTGCAAGAACGCATGGTCCTGCCGAGCCGCCGAGCGCCCCATCTGCCCCTTCGTTGCATCCAACCCCCCGCCCCCCCCCCCCCCCCCCGGCCCGGTGGGAAGCGTGGGGCTGCGGGGGGGTTGGATATCAGGCGTGCCATGATCTGTGGACCACAGCCTCAGCCAGAAGTCTGTCCCCAGCCCAGACCTAGGCTTGGCTGAGACCAAGCTTTCACAGAAATGGCTCAAAGCAAAAGCTTCAAAAGAAAGCCCAAGGTTTGGGAGATTCAATGAAAAACGAAAAAACAAACACTTTGAACATCTATGCAATATCCACATCCAACCTGCAACGCCTAACCCAAAACAAACTATGTAAGACAGGAAAACCACTCAGAGACAAAGATTTTCCAAAAAAACTACTGGACCAAAAAACCGCGTTTGCCAAAAATATCCTCGGACTTTCAAACCCAGCCCCAAACCCGGGGAAAAAGATCTCAGAGGAGTCATTGGTCTCTCCTGCACGGACCCCGCGGGCTCCAAGTCTCCGAGGGTGGCCAAAGGCAGCTGCGCCTCCGACAGCTGAGACCTCGCCGCACTCCCCGCAATCCCCGCGCCGCCGAGGCTCTCCGGGAAGCGGTCGGAGACCTCCCCGTCCACGGCCTGGCGTCCGGGAAACCCCAACCGGAGGGCTCCGGTGGTGTGTGTGTGTGTGTGTGTGTGTGTGTGTGTGTGTGTGTGTGTGTGTGTGTGTGTGTGTGTGTGTGTGTGTGTGTGTGAGTGTGTGTGTGTGTGTGTGAGTGTGTGTGTGTGTGTGTGTGTGTGTGTGTGTGTGTGTGTGTGTGTGTGTGTGTGTGTGTGTGTGTGTGTGTGCGGGTGTGTGTGTGTGTGTGTGTGTGTGTGTGTGTTGTGTGATTGTGTGTGTGTAGTGTGTTTGTGGTTTGTGTGTGTGTGTGTGTGTGTGTGGTGTGTGTGTGAGTGTGTGTGTGGTGTGTGTGTGTGTTGAGTGTGTGTGTGTGTGTGTGTTGTGTGGTGTGTGTGGTGTGTAGGTGTGTTGTGTGTGTGTGTGTTGAGTGTGTGTGTGTGAGTGTGTGTGTGGTGTGTTGTGTCAAGTGTGTGTGTGTGTGTGTGTGTGTGTGTGTGGTGTTGTGTGTGTGTGTAGTGTGTGTGTGTTTGTGTGTGTGTGTGTGTGTGTGTTGTGTGGTTGTGTGTGTGTTGTGTGTGCGTGGCGTGCGTGCTAGGCGTGCGTGCGTGCGTGCGTGCGTGCGTGCGTGCGTGCGTGCGTGCGTGCGTGCGTGCGTGCGTGCGTGCGTGCGTGCGTGCGTGCGTGCGTGCGTGCGTGCGTGCGTGCGTGCGTGCGTGCGTGCGTGCGTGCGTGCCGTGCGTGCGTGCGTGCGTGCGTGCGTGCGTGCGTGCGTGCGTGCGTGCGTGCGTGCGTGCGTGCGTGCGTGCGTGCTGCGTGCGTGCGTGCGTGCGTGCGTGCGTGCGTGCGTGCGTGCGTGCGTGCGTGCGTGCGTGCGTGCGTGCGTGCGTGCGTGCGTGCGTGCGTGCGTGCGTGCGTGCGTGCGTGCGTGCGTGCGTGCGTGCGTGCGTGCGTGCGTGCGT